TTAACCTTGTCATTTACTGTCTGAATATGTGGAGCCATATTTCAGTAAAGACCATCGAACTTGAAATGGAGAACATTGAGATTTGGTCAGGATCTTGGGTCTCCAAGGAAATTAAAATACTTTTATTCGCCCTGTTTTACACGATCGCTTTTGTGGTGTTCCTTGTTTTGATAAAGCATTGTGAATTACGAGTGAGCGAAACAGTAAATAACCCGCCGGTGTACTTTATAAATTCAACTGGTAAACCTAGTTATTTTAATCTTTTGAAGAAAAGCCTGCATTCATTTATAACACTTCCAGACGATGAAATTCTCAAGGCGGGAAAAACTGGTCGGCAGCTGTTGATGATTCAAATGGAGAGATGTTTTCTTCTTACCAACAAAAGATTCTGGAGTTTTCTTATGAAACTTTCATTCTCTCTTCTTGCAAAAATAAAAACCTATAGACTTTGTATTTCTATCCCATTATTTATTCCATGTCTTCTTTATGGTTTTTTATGCTTTGTTGTCTCCTTGTCTGTAAACTTATTGTGGGGTCTCTTTCCTATTTTTGGTTTTCTTTTTACGAGTTTATCTTTAGTAAGAAGTTACTGTTCCTTGTTGAAAATATTGATGATGGCAATTTTGCTTCATTTTTTCATTCAAATTGTTTTTGGCGAGAATTTAGTCTTTTCTTTGAATGTTGTTCTGATCACAAGCTTGATTGGCGTACCAGAGGCCAGCAGTGAAAGTTTTCCATTTCTTTCCCAAGTAGTACCGATCGTAGTTTATACTGTTCGTTACTGGAATCAATTTACAAAGAAATACAAGGATCTGCTAGACATTACCTTTGAGATCAAGAAAGAGAAATTAGAACAGCAAAGCGAAAATACGGATACAGAGCAACGACGTTCTGAGGAGGAAGTAGTCGTATCAACGAAAGAATTTAATTTGTTGTGTGAACATGTCATTCCGATCAAAGAACAAAGTATTCGACTATTTGGGAAAGTCGTTGGAACACTTTTGTTTTTAACCATATCAGTGACCATGCTGTTCTGGAAGAAATCAAGTGATTTTGATTTTGCAAGAATTGACAAAATTGCACTGATTGTCTTTGTATTTTTGTTCCCAAAACTTGTTGAATATTGTTGTGGAAATTCAAATGAAGTACAGACCAATAATTTGAAAGTCAAAGTGAAGACTTTTTTGAATAGACTTGAAAATGCGGATGTTACTGAACAAAACAATGTTGAATTTAGTCAGGAAAGTAAAGCTGTCACTTGCTTATGGAATTCCTGTTGTGAAACTGAAATCATCGATGACGATAATATACATGAATGTAAATCGTTAAAAAACGAGAACCACATTGTATAATGGACAGACAATGCAGTTGTAATAAAATGTCCCTCTTTCGCAATACATTATTTATTTTCATTAAAGTGTTCCTATTTATACTTATTTTATTTTCAAACGACATAAAGTATGTGTAAATGTTTCTGCAATATCTAGAGAGTAAACAAGTTGTTTATTAAATGACACATTCAATATCAATCCGGATCTCTTAAAGGTAAATGTTAGTTATTTCGACATTTTGCTTTTATTTGTGACACGGGGAATAACCTAGACCGACCTTAGCCTGTATGATATGAGCTATCGGAAAACACCTAAATATGATCTATTTGTTCTGCTGAATTTAGAAGTCTCCCTTTTTGCCCTTTAATGAAATCTTATTCGTTCAAGTGATCATAAATCGACAGAAAAGAAATAACATCAAAGAATGCTTTAAGTAGAAGGATCAACTGGATTACATAAAAAAGTTTATGCATTGTAAGAGGAACTGATTATGAGCTGCAAAAAATTGTGCTTCACAAGTTTTTTTTGTTGTTGTTGTTTTTTTGTTTTTTTTTGCCTTAAAAAACTGACTCTGTCGATCGATATACGTTTAAATAATTCTTATACAACAAAATTTGGAATTTGAACTCTATTAGCCTTGATTATTACCCCCGCTTTGACATTTTTAATCTTGAATAAGGCAAATTTTTGTACCATGTAAATTTGTTGTACATGCATAATCAAATATCATATTTTGTGATTTTTGCATTAATATATGTTTTTCATTTATTTACATAATTTGTGTTATTGTGCTTGGTATCTTTTAATTATATCATCTATTCTGGGTGTTGAGCTAAAAGTATGAGTGTAAAATGCTTGTGTTTCGGACTATGTAGTTTTCTTTTTATAATTTTCTCTTGAAATGTGATAAAGCTACATTTCAAATCACTGTAGCTGCACATTATATATAAAAAAAATTATTTCCAGGTACTAGTATATTAAAAAGAGTCTTTTATGAGGCCTTTATGTATGACATTATTCCTTAATGGCATGTAATAAATTTACATGCAAAATACTCTCTACTATTCAAATATACTCAAAATTTTATACAATATCACTGTGGAATTTAACATGTGTACATAATGTATGTTATATTATTCAAAATGGAATGTTTGTGTCAACGTATCTTTTCAATAAGGATGATGTGAAATTCAAAAATAAGTATAATGGTGAAAAAAGTGAAGAGGACAATACCGTCATGATTTTTATTAAAAACGATACGCATGTCTTTAGGTTGAACTTGCATTAATAAACATTGATATGTCAGGATCTTGACAAATGATTTTTCAAAAAAGCAAAGTATTATGTTAACAAAATAAAGTCAATTTGAAATAAATTGGCTTAACCTCATTTTAGTCTATCATAGTTTTTAGATATGCGATTTGCATCATATTTCATTGCTTGAAATAAAAAAAATCACAGAGTATGGACATCTGCCTGTTTTATATTTGAATATTTTACTAGAAAAAGACGTTAATGGTAATCTATGATAAAAATGATGTTTTTAACTTTTCAACCGTCAACTTCTTCTTCCAATATAGCCTTATCACCTGCATACTTTGTTTATATCTCTCAGAACATGTTCTGCGTATGAACAATTTCTAACACTGGGAAATTAACTGACGAACAAGTTGATGGTATAAGAATTTCAACAGTCTCATTTAAAATCGTCATTTCATTTTTAAGTTCTTTGGTCGATACAATGATCAGCATATACAATCTATTGAATCTAATGCTGACTGACGTTTTTCATACTGATTGTGAGACTTACTTACCTACCATATTGTCGACGGATTTTTCCGTCTTTTTTTTTAATCATGACAAGAAGCAATATGTGTGTGGCCAGTCGGTGGCGGATGCTCACTTGGTGCCTGATCTCACCTCTGATGTTACTTTTCTAGAGGTCTGAGTTTACTCTGCTCCTGTTTTGTATTGATTAAATGGACTTTTGAGCTCGAGTACTCTTTTCATATATTTCTTTTCTATCGAAATTTATTTTAAAATAATTGCTCATAATTTTAACAAAAAACATTACAAAAGTTTAACCTGGTAAACATTAAGGTTATTTATTTTGAATATTTCATATTAAATCTATGAGATATATTTCTGATTTCTGAGGGGGAAAGTTTGTTTGTTGTCTTTATCCTTAAAGCCATATGAGAGAGGTGTCGAGAGTTTGTACTGAGTAGTTCGAATGATATTACTGACTTTGGAATTTTGTTTTTCTTAAAGTTCTTTGGCGTTTTTTAGATTCTTAATTTGATGTACACCACTTCTTGAATTGTGTACCTTAAGAAGTTTATCATTTACAACACATTACTAATACTTTTTGTAAAAGTAGAGAAAGGAGTTTACTAACAAATGAATTGAAGGCAAAATAGAGTTTTGCCAGAACACGGATTTCCTCAATTATACTATAAATTTTAAAATTCAATTTGCTATGTTTTGAGATCAATAAATGTTATTACTTTTGCATTATTTATAGAATTCCTAATTTCAAATTATTTTTAAATACATTGCCTTGCATTGAATTTACTCTTTGCAGCATGTATGGGATTCGGTTCCATGTCATTACGGTCAAATTCCTATAGAATTTTTACCCGGCGGTACGTAGAGGATATCGTTATCTAGAGGGACATTTTTGAATTTCTAATTTAAAGGTACTTGGACACAGATTTGAAGTTAATATTTTCCCATTTTTTCTGTATAATATCACGAATTATATTTTTTAATAGCTTTTCACACAAAAAATTATTATAAATCTTGTTTCATTTAAAAGTAATTTAAACTTTAAATTTTTTGGCGGGTTTGATTGACACATGCTTGCACTTTCACAAATTTTAACTTTATTCTTAATCCTTAGGAAAAAGTGGCAATTTTGATGCGTTTTAATGAGAAATATTAAAACTTTTATCAAGAAAAATAATTTTATTCAGAGTAGAAATGTTAGAAAGCAAAACACCTTCACAAGTATCGTCATTCCGAACTAAGAGATGCGTACAGAGTTTAGCAAATCGAGCACACTCGTATTATGTACACAGTTTTTGTAAACAGGGCTCGAGTTCTGTTATTGTTTATATTTAGAATTCACCGGGTGCGTTCAATCGTCACAGTCTGCTTAACACAACTGCACGGACTGACAATATATTGTGTGTTTGTTTTGCTTTCAAACTTGTCTACTCTGAATTTTCTGGATTATAGTATTAATATTTTTCATTTATTCAAAACGAGATTGCCACTTTTCCTAAGGATTAAGAATAAAATTAAATTTGTGAGAGTGCAAGGATATGTCAATCAAACTCGCCGAAAAATTTAAAATTTCAATATCTTTTAAATAAGATTTTTAATTAATTTTTGTGTGAAATGCTATTAAAATATATAGGTCGTAATATTATAGAGAAAAAAATAACTTCAAATCTGTGTCCAAGTACCTTTAATCGTACAATTACGTTTAAATTAGGAGTAGATGACACTAAATCTTTGACACCTACATTTCTCATATCCATTTTCCTTCCTTAGTTTTTTTTTTCATTCATTATGCACAATAAATTAAATAACTGTTGTTTTTAAGCAAAGGACATGCACTTAGGATTACCGGAAGTAACTACATAACAAACCGAAAGTTGAATGTTCACCCTCACGGCTCAGGTAAATTTTTACAAACAGGCTACTTTCGTTATTCTTCCAAATTAAAGGTTTGTTTTGGGCTGTTTTGTCACTTATTTGAGGTTATTTATCTTATTATTAATATATGACACCATTTTACATGTATAACTGTTTAACATTAAATATTATTATGTTATCTATGTTTTTTGAATGAAATGCATAATATAGTAATGCATCAATTGGATATAACCTAAGCCTGTCCACTTCTATAAAGATAATTGCACTTAATATACCTGTTAAATGCCCTCTGTATCTTTTTTGTCCCCCGCTTTCGCGAAAGCGAGGGGACATTAAATCTCATTCGTCTGTCCGTCAGTCTGTCCGTCTGTCAGTCTGTCCGTCACAAAAACTTTAACCTTGCCCATAACTTTTGATTTAGTAGAGCTATGACTTTCATATTTCACATGTGTATTTCTTGTGACAAGACCTTTCTTTGGGTACACACACAAATTTGACCTTTTGACCTTGACCTTGGAGTTTGACACAGAAATTTCAAACTTTTACTTTGGCAATAACTTTTGAATGGAAGGTACTAGGACTTTCATATTTCACAGATGTATTGTTTGTGGAAAGACCTTTCATTGGATACCAACATCCTTGACCTTTTGACCTTGACCTTTTTCCGTATCTATGAAAAAACTTTAACCTTGGCTATAACTTTTGAACAGTAGGGGATAGGGCTTTGATACTTCACATATGTAATCCTTGTGAAATGACCCTTTATTGGATACCATAAAACTTTTACCCTTTGACCTTGACCTTGGAGTTTCAAGTACTTTTTATAAACTATAACCTTGATCACAACTTTTAAACGGTAGATACTAGGACTTTTATATTTCACATATGTATTCCTTGTTGCAAGACATTTCATTGGATACCAACAACCTTGACCTTTTGACTTGACCTTGGAGATTTACATACTTATGGGAAAACTTTAACCGTGACCATTACTTTTGAACGTTGAGGGCTAGGGCTTTCGTACTTCACATATGTAATCTTTTTGAGAAGACCTTTCATTGGATACCAACAACTTTTACTCTTTGACCTTGACATAGGAGTTTTAACTACTTTTAAAAAAAAATTAACTTTGGTCACAATTAACTTTTGAACGGTAGATACTAGGACTTTTATATTTCACATATGTATTTTTTGTGACAAGTCCTTTCATTGGATATCAACAACTTTGACCTTTTGACCTTGACCTTAAAGATTTACGTACTTATGTAAAAACTTTAACCTTGACCACAACTTTTGAACGGTAAGGGTTAGGGCTTTCATGCTTCACATATGTAATTCTTCTGAGAAAACCTTTCATCAACAACTTTGACCCTTTGATCTTGACCTTGGAGTTGACCTACTTTTAAAAAACGTCAACTTTGGCCATAACTTTTTACCGGTCAGGATAAGGGTTTTCATTCTTCAAAAAAATCAACTTTAATGATAATTTCTATGAAATGACATATGATAGGATGTTCATATTAGACACAATATGTCATAAAAATAGCATCTCCCCAACAAAGACACCGAAAGCGGGGGACCACAATTCTTTGAATTTACTTGTCTATAGTAATATTTTAAGATGTTCAACGTTTGTGTGATGAATAAATTATTATCAACTTTCAGATTTAGGTATTTATGGCTAGTGTAAGTGATGGGGTGGCTCCCCGTAAACATAGATTGTTTGTGGCAGCCATCGACTTTGGCACCACATATTCCGGCTACGCTTTATCCTCAAAAGATGACTGGGAGAAAGAACCTCTAAAAATCAACGCAAATACCTGGAATGCAGGAACCAAAAGTCTTTTATCCACAAAGGCTCCCACGACGCTCTTACTGAATCCTGACAAGTCCTTCAATTCGTTTGGATATGATGCCGAAACTGAGTATTCCGACCTGGCGGACGAAGAGGAAGACTATGAATCTTATTATTACTTCCACTGCTTCAAGATGTTGCTTCACAACAACAAAGTAATTGTGAATAAACATATTTTGCGAAGTGTATATTTTCTTTGTATTAAAACGTTTTTTTTTTTTGCAAATTTTGTGGAGGAAAATTTGACCTCCAAGTACATTTTAATAAAAAACCTATCTTTCATTTAAAAAATAAAATTAAGCTGTGCTCATTCAGTATAATTTATTGCTTTATAACAGAAATTACGAAGAGATACAGAGATAGCTGATGCAACAGGGAAAAAATTGGACGCAATGACTGTTTTCAGCTTGTCCATTAAATTTCTAAGAGACCATCTCTTTAATAGTCTGTCTGACAAGATCAAAGAGATTCAGGCAGATGACATACACTTTGTCCTCACAGTTCCAGCTATATGGAACGACAATGCAAAGCAATTTATGCGAGAAGCAGCAATGAAGGCAAGTCTCATATTCTATATACACTGCATGGACATAAAGTTTGGTGGGAAGGGTGCATGGGTTCCAATTCTTACAAGTAGTTTTAAAAACTTCTTATGTGTTTTAGCAACTGAATTATACATAAAACAGTAGACAAATACATATATTGTGTTATTAAACAAAGATGCCAACACAACTGATTAATTTGAAGTGTTATTTAATACAAGTTCAATGGTATCTGTAGGCATGTTTACTGACTCCAGGAAGCTATTTAAGTCGACGATATATCAAGCATTTGATCTCATATTTTGGGAAAACCAAACTCTTTTAATGTGGTAATTTTTCGGAAATAAGTTACTTACTATCAAAATAATGTGGTTATTGTCTCTAAATACTTAACACTTTAATCTTTGCTTTAATTATTTTTCAAAGCGGAGAACTTAGTATAAACATAAATAAATTTGCTTTTTCATATCTTTTTTTTTTAAGTTCAAGTGTTCAAATGAGTTTTTTTTAATGAAAAAGCTGAGAAATGGTCAAATAAACTTAAACAGTTAATCCTTTCATTTCATACTAATAAGCTTTAATTTATTGAACATAGGCTGGGATATCGAGAGAACAGTTATCTATTGCTTTAGAACCGGAAGTAGCTTCCATTTACTGTCAGCATCTTCATCTGGAACGCCAGGAATTAAAGGGTGGGAAATCATTTTTAGAAGCTACCAAATTAGGGTCAAGATTCATGGTCGTGGATTTGGGAGGTAATGACGGAAGGTTTTTCAACGTCAAATACATGTAGATTCAGAGAAATAATACAAATATTTAAAAGTGTATGTTTTACTATTTATATTTTTCAGAAAAAAAATATATATCCATCATTTTCGGAAATTTTCAAATCTTTAAGACTACAGTATGTCTCTCTGTTTGTTTAGAATCACAGAATTGTAATAAAGCGCAGATTGTTTGTACATATTTAAAGTGAATTATCAGGATTCAGGATGGCAGATTAAGTTTCATGATAATAGTGAGTTCTGCAACGCAGTCACTTGAGCAAACGAATATTTGTCATTTCCTTTGACAGAAACCGTTCTTGTAAAGTTTATTTTATTTTTTCACCTGAGGTGTAGAGACACATACATACATACATATCTATTACAATTCTAAAAAGTAATAATCCCATGCAGTTTTGTCAACTTGTATCTCTTTGTAATTTTAGGTGGGACGACAGACATTACCCTGCACGAACGGTGTGAAGGTGGAAAATTAAAGGAAATTCACAGGGCTTCTGGGGGTCCGTGGGGTGGGCGAGACATCAACGAGGCATTTTTCTCTTTCCTCAGAGAGTTGTTTGAAAAAGATGTAATTGACGATTTTAAAATAAAACATATGGACGATTATTTAGAGCTGGAAAGAGAATTCGAAACGAAAAAGCGTATGATTGCATTCGATAAACCAGGTCGAGTTAAAATGACCTTTCCCCTGTCTTTGTTTGAATTGGCAAAAAAGGCAAAAAATGTTAATTCAGTCGATGAAATAATTGGTAAGAATACCAAGTATGCTGGGAAAGTTAATGTTAAAATACAAAAGCTTCATATTTCTATTGAAGTTTTTAAATTGTTGTTCCAACCAACCCTTGAAAGCATTGCTGGTCATATTCAGAAAATTTTGAAAGATAAATGCGGTGAAGTGGACAATATTCTATTGGTTGGAGGATTTTCTGAGTGTGAACTTGTACAAAATCAACTGAAAAGCGTTCTGTCAAACAAAAAGATAATTGTACCTGATGATGCTGGATTAGTCGTTTTAAAAGGCGCTGTTCTGTATGGCCATATGCCACAAGTGATCACTTCACGAGTAGCACGACACACCTATGGAATTCAGAGTTGGCCAGAGTTTGATCCAGAAAAACACCCACCGTCGAAAAGAGTTGTGATCAATGGTGTCGCACGATGCAAAGATGTCTTTTTCAAATACTGCACAATTGGGCAGGAAATCACCCCTGGGTTTCAATGTTCCCAAACATTCCAGGCTTTGAAGCCAGACGAAGACACTCTCGAATGCACTATTCACGCCTCTTTCGAGGAGGATCCCAAATTCGTCACAGATGGGTCCTGCTTTCGTCTTGGGACACTAACAGTTCCGTTGCCAAAGCGACGGTCAAACGAACCACTGGAAATCGAGGAAACGATGGTGTTTGGAGAAACTGAACTCCATGTCAGGGCAAAAGATATTACAAATAATAGAACATACGAAGCTTTCTTTAACTTTCTGGACAATTGAGGTGTATTTTAATGAATTTATGCTTTTTGTCATTTTAAATGGATTGTTTATCATGAACTGTATAATTAAAAGGTTAAGAATTGTGTATTGTATATTATTTGGTGCTCCTGTTATGAAACGATATTATATTACATAACCACACACATTGTTTTTGTAGCGTTTTATATCAGTCCTGTTTCGTACAGTTAATATCATTTACCACCGAGTACCTCTTGTTTTCATTCCTTGTTTAATCAGAGTGCATTTTGCATTTCTCCTAAAATTATTGTGTTTTGATGAATCTATGATTTCAGATGAAGATCCCTTACTGACCATACTTGAAATGACCATGGATACAGAGTAGCTATGTCTAAGGGAAATAGAATTGTGACTTTTGTCCATGTTGTAACCTGTTTAAGTAAGCGTTATCTGTTTTAGAACTACTAGTGATCATTTAACATATTAATATCATTTTGATTTACACCCTGTGTGTGTAGAAAAAAAATTCCTAATTTATCCTTTAGCCTTGTCAAATTTCCCCAGGTCTGGTGCATTTTCTCGCCTTCTACTGTCCTTCATGATTAACACCTCCCCCTCTAGAATATGCCCTCTAGTGTCCAATGCAGTGCTGTTCTAGTTTCTCTTTTTCAGCATGTAAACATTTTTGCAATTAGTTATGATGGTACCCATGTCCTCTTGTTTGCATCTGCTCAGCAGGTCTTCATTTGTTACCTTATGTGTAATGTATTTATTATAATACAATATATCCCTATACATGATATTCCATCATTCTCTGATACTTTTTCAAAGTTGGCTTGGTTTTTTTTAAAAGTTCCTTTGCCCAGTCTGCTGTGTATGTCCTCCTTTGTCATGTGTCACTCCTAAAAAAAAGTTATCTGTCTGTATTCCTTCCCATTGATCTTAACAATTCCACATTAAGTGTATTGTTCATCTTTGTACCTTCCCACTTGTTTCAAGGTTCATATTCTTCTACATTTAAGTGTTCAAATTATGACAATAGCTCCTCCAGTGTTGGTTACTTGGAGAGTCTTCTGTTGTCTTCCGCATGACCCAATGTGACCAGGTTGAACAACACTTTTAGCTTTTTATACCTTTTTGGCATCCCCAGTTTTAACATCGAAGAAGGTGTATATGTATCCTTTAGCATTTAAAGTTGTCATAAAAGCTCTTTATCAGGTGGACCATTTTAGATGGAATACCATTGGCGTAGGATGCTCCAAAGGCTATGGTATGCTGTCAAATGCCTTTTATCCATACAATTGTCTCTTGAATGATGTTGCGGAGTAAGATCTGATCAGTACATCCTCTATGTTTAAATCCTGCTTGCTCTTTCCTCACAGCATCAACGGTATTTCTTTTGATGATTATTTTGGCAGGATCTTACTTGGCAAAACCGTCTATTTTCAATTTATGAACTTATTGTTATTTTTTATTGTTTCATGCAATCATGATCTTTCTTGAACACAAACAGTGGTTGGAGGATGGTGGCTGCTATTCCAGAAGATGCAAAAGCTCTGCATCAAGATTGTCATTCTTCTTCTTATTGCATTCATTATCTCCTCCTTAAGTTGGTGGGTCATGACGTGTCCAGATCCTCTGTGGCTTCTGACTTCATCAGGTGATGGTTTTCTATATTGAGACAACAAACATCTCTCTTTGCTGATGTCAGGTGTTCCATGTTTGTCTTTGAAGTGTTGTGTTTCCTAAAATTTGCCACACACTCGTTTCGTGATATTATATACTCTCCCTTGCTCTCCCCGTACTGCTGCTTTCTCTGCCTCAGCTGCAAGTTGGTCCATGGCTTCTCTCTTGTCACGTCATGCAAGCTTCTTAACTTAATATGTTTTTATGTTATTGACTTTCAAAAAATGGTAAGTTAAAAATACTTTGGAGTTTTTGAGAATCCACATCAGATTTACACCATTCTAGGATATGCTGGAGCACTGTACGTCTGAAATTTCTCCTTAACAGCCGTTAACAATGTTTGTTAAGTTAGTTAGAATAGGGACATAGTAGAACTCTGCTTGACCCTGTACATGTGTAATGTACTTATTACAGTACAGTATATCTCTATATATAATATTCCATTGTTCTCTGATACTTTTTAAATTTCTCTTCTTTGGTTTCTTTATTTTTAAATTGCTCAAGTAAAGTTGGGACAGTTTTCAAGTGTCACTCCCAAGACTGTATTCTGTGAACAATTCCACGATGTACTTCATCTATAGCTTCTTATTTCAATTCAAAGCTTTGTACATTTAAGTGTTCAAATATGACAATAGCTTTGGATTGGTTATTGGGAGAAGATTTGAGCCTGTGACCATTGTGCAATACTTTTAGCTTTTTATACTTTTTTGGCATCCCCAACTTTGATGGGTGATATAATTATGTTTCCTTCTCTTGATGACTTTTGTTTCTTCCTGTTCCTTTCAAGATCAATATTGTACTAAATTCCACTCAGTGCTGCACTCCAACTTTTATCCAACCTATTTCTGGTTGAAAGCAGTAAAATGGACGTTTTCCTGATGGTATTTCAACTTATGCAGCTTCCAAAACCGTCTATTTACAATTTATGAACTTATATAGTAAATAGTTTTTTATTTTTAGTGTTTCGTGCAATTTGATCTTTATGGGAAAAACGGGCGACGAGATGACTGGTGCAATTGAACATGCAGATCATTCTCTTCATTTAAAGCTCAAAGGAGGTAATGACGTAGGCGTATGTACAAGACTTCTTTGTATTGTTTTCTCTATCTAGACAACAAGAAATATTCACTGCTGAGAGGGTCAGATGGAAGTGTTGGAAAATAACCTGTCAGATCTTGTACAGATGAAAGTGCTGAATTATTGAGTTCAGTTGGTTGTTATCATTTTACATATTAATATGTTTTTATGTTATTGACTTGCATAAAATGACAAGTTAAAATTTTCCTTCGAGTTTTGAGAATCCATATCAGATTAACACCATTCTAGAATATGCTCTAGCACAGTACGTCTGAAAGTTCTCCTTAACAGCAGTAAACATTTTTGCAATTAGTTAGGATAGGGGCATAGTAGAACTTTGCTTGATCTTGTAAAGTATTTATTACAGTTCATGTATCTCGGTACATGAATTTTCTCTATATATTTTCTTTTACTCGTTTTTTTTAAAGTTCCTCGAGTAAAGTTGGGACAGTTGTCAAGTATCACTCCCAAGACTGTATTCTGTTAATAATTCCACGATATACGTCAATCATAGTTTCTCATTCCAATCCATATGCTTTACATTTAAGAGTTCAAATATGATCATAACTTTGGATTGGTTATTGGAAAAAAAATTTGAGCCTGTGACCATTGTTCAATACTTTTAGCTTTTTATTCTCTTTGGCATCCCTACTTTGATGGGTGATATAATTATGTTTCCTTCTCTTGATGACTTGTTTCTTTCTGTTCCTTTCAAGATCAACATTGGATTAAATTCCAATTAATGCTGCACTCCAACTTTTATCCAACCTATTTCTGGTTGAAAGCAGTAAATTGGACAAACTTGAATTTCAACTATGCACTTCCTGAACATGCTATTTACATATATATATGTTTTTATGGTTTCATGCAAGTTGATCTTTTTTGCAAAAACAAAAATTTTTAAAGAATTTTCCTATATATTTCTATGTAAAACATTAGAGCATTTTGGTCCCAGAAGGGGGTCATGATTTGAACAAAATTGAATCTAAACCTGAGCATGTTTCCATATAAATATTTTATGGCTTTGTCATTCTTGAGAAGAAGATTTTTAAAGAATTTTCCTATATATTTCTATGTAAAACTTTTCTCCATTTTGGCCCCGCAACCCCCGGGGTCATGAAACAAACTTGAATCTACACTACCTGAGCATGTTTCCATATAAATATGATTAATTATGGCTTCGTCATTCTTGAGGAGAAGATTTTAAAAGAATTTTCCTATATATTTCTATGTAAAACTTTGGTCCATTGACCATTTTGTGTCCCACTTTTTGTCCTACTTCCCGGGGGGTCAGAATGAACAAACTTGAATCTACACTACATTGCTCCCATATAAATATGATGAATTATGGCTTTGTCATTCTTGAGAAGAAGATTTTTAAAGAATTTTCCTATATATTTCTATGTAAAACTTTGGCCGGCCATTTTGGCCCCGCCCTACCCCCGGGGGACATGATTTGAACAAATTTGAATCTACACTACCTGAGGATGTTTCCCCATAAGTTTCATCTTTCCTGGCACAGTGGTTCTTGAGAAGAAGATTTTTAAAATATACCACTAAATTTTCATTAATTCCCAATTATCTCCCCTTGAATAAGGGCGTGGCTCTTCATTTCAACAAATGTGAATCCCCTTCACCCAAGAATACTTTGTGGCAAGTTTGGTTGAAATTGGCCCAGCGGTTCTTTTCGAAAATGTGAAAAGTTTACAGACAGACGGACAGCTGGACAGACGGACAGACAGACGGACGCCGGACAAAATGTGATCAGAAAAGCTCACTTGAGCCTTCGGCTCAGGTGAGCTAAAAATTATTCTCTTAATTTTATGCTTCAAGAAGGTAACTGACGTAGGAGTATGTAGATGACTTCTTTGTATTGTTTTCTATATCGAGACAACAAAAAACATTCATTGCTGAGAGATCAGATGGAAGTGTTGGAAAATATCTTGTCAGATCTTGTACAGAGGAAAAGTGCTGAACTGTTGAGTTCAGTAGGTTGTTGCCAAAAGTTGATGGTTCTATGATTGATAAAAGGATGTTGTATAACAACATCAATTCATTGAACCATGCTCTTGTCTCTATTAAACTCAACCTTTTGTCCTCTTCTTCAGTTGATATACTAGCAGAATTACAGGAAACTTTTTATGAACAAGTACACAGCATTTATAATGAGGCCTATAATTTTTTATTGATTTGTCAATTAGCTGTGCTTGAGAAAATACTTACGATATTGTAATCCTATTACATTCCCATTCAGAATATACTCTCACAAGCTTGATTCTACATTATACGAATGTTTTTGCACTAATTTAAGTGGAAATATAGTTACGTTGTTCTTCTAATATTTCCTGCATGCTCTCCTACACCTATATATGCTTTAGAGTCCCATTACATAGTATGTAAAGCATTATTAGCTGAACCAAATGAAGCCTTGCTGTTATGAAGATGGTTCCTGCTCATACCAATCAAAACATTACGATTTGTTCTTTATTTTATTTCGGTTCAACCGAGAGAACCAAAATATAGCTAAATCATACTACATATACAAAGTTCGATGAAATTAGGATCCTAAACTTTTACCGAGATGAATGAATTCAGTCTTTTGCAAATCTTTGCCCAGTACATGTTAATGAAAAATATGTATGACGAGTTCTGTTGTGCAATACATGATATACAACATCCGGACAGACTGGAGAAGGGAATCAATTAATTTTTTTAGTTTTTAATCATTTCTCTCTTAAACATGAAATACATGAAAATAACGAACCGAATTCAAGCTAGCCCAAATGTCCTTTTAAATAAATTTTGGAGCAGAGCAAACATGGACTCCCCAGATCAGAGGTGGGATCAGGTGCCATGGAGAAGTGAGCATCCCCTGCCGAGCGGTGACACCCGTCGTATGCTCCTTGTCATGATCGGTAAATGACAGACATATTAGTCGACGATTCCGTGTGTAAATAATGGCCTATCAATTATTATGAAATGTTTGTCAGCATTTGACTCAATCATAAATTGCATGTGGTGATAGAACTTGCAAAGTGATGACTTTAAACGAGACTGCTGATAATCTTCTTTCGTCAAGTTGTTCGTTAGTAATTTACCTCATTTTAGAAATTGTTTTTACGTAGAGCATGCTATTGCGTATCAAACCAACTAAGAGATATAATCCCCGTATGCAGGTGATGATGTACTAGTAAGCAAGGGAAGTTGTCAATTGAAATGTTTAAGTCATCACGCGTATCATAAAGCTTGGTTGTTAGATTACCATTAACGCCTAATTCAAGTAAACCATCGAAATATGAAACAGATGTGTCAGGCTCTGTGGTATCTTTTATTTCAAGCTATACCGAGTATAACATCGTCATAAGAATAGAAATAACCATTTTTAATTGACGATACATCGTCGATATATACTTACGAGTTGAAAGCCACAGCAAGCGCTTTTTCTTTTGATGAATAAGATCATTTGCGACAATTACCGTAGTTCATATGAATACAAAAATGGGTCTGCTACTAACGGGACGCAATTGGTACCAATGGGAATTCCAATACATTGTTGGAGGAATTGGACCTAGTCTCCAAAAAAAAATTACATCCTGTCATTCAGAAACTCGAGCATCTTTTTTAATGTCAACTTCTGAGTACTTGTGTGTACCACCAGAAAGTTTTTAACAATACAATTTTCTTTTTTTCTTCCAGTGGCAAAAATATACATTAGAGAGCCATGTTCCTGAGGGGAAGAAGTATCTCTTATAGTGAAGTAAAACCAATCTGATTCATCATTACCAAGAAATTAAATTTTCATGCTTTTATATTACCGTTTTGTGTTTTGTATGAACATCAAAAGATACAACTGGAATATATAAAGATCAAATACAGAAATTCTGATTTATTAATTTCAATGTAAACTACATACACTAAAATAATAATTCAAAACAAGACAAGATATGCTTCTTCATTTATACAATGTTTTAACTTAATTATCAAGGTAAAATAAAATGCCACTACCTTGAAACACACCACACAATTACTAAAGAAAGTACACTGCAATAACTTTAGATGCTAAAAAGCTGTTAATCATACTGCTAGATACTTTAAATCACTTTTTATTCATGATGATTTTTCATGTAACTATGTGAGTCTGTCTGCCTTCCAGTATTTTATCCTCAAATATATTTCATTTGGTAATGTAAATGATTGTTTTATTTCACAATATTAACTACAACTCATGAAAAATTTTGTCTGCTTAAAAATACAAATACATGTAGCTGTCTTATGTTAGTATGTTGTCGCAAAAATATAGTGATCTACAGCAATCAAATCTCTACACGTTTATATTCACCAAATTTTTCTCCTGACCACTATTTCTTTTATGAAAATCAATTCCTTAAATCAACTTTTAGCAATATACAAGTTAGAAACAGGTTTTTTTTACAGCTACATGTACAAATGCAAAAGATATTACTTAAGCAGTGGGCACTTCCTTTTAAGAAACATAGCTTGACATACAGAGCGACCATAATATTTAAACCATTTATACCGACCTGGTACTTGATTGCAATTATTTATACAGACATGTATATATATAATGAAATAACTTTCCTTTTTTTGTTAATACATGATAACGAACAGCTTTTAATTTTGAGGTCCGTCGGATGGGACGTTAAAGGGTGCCCCGTGTCAAGGATTGCAACCCCCTTGGCATGCAAAAGATCATTTCCCTGATTTTCAAATAAGAGTAGGCTAATTGTGGGCCTTCAGAGAAACCCAAAACTTTAAAAACTGGTCACATGATTTACTTTTTATTGCCGATATATGGCTGAAATATTGCCGATTTGGCGTAAAACATTTATCAATCAATCAATCAATACATGATGATAACTGCAACCATTATAGAGAAAAACCTTATGGAGGTTATGTGTTTTTCTGCAAAAGTTGCAAGTCTTAATTCCAGTATATGTATTAACAAAGAAAGGATTGTTTTAATTAACTTAAAAAGAATATTCAAAAACAAAAGATATATAAAAAAAGTAATTTTAAGACAGATATGAGAAAAAAAATTACTTGCTTGAAATAAATTTGAAATATAATTAAAATGCAGAGAAAAATGAATTTCATATATGTGAAGGAAACAGATATGTGAAAACGATTTCCAAAAAAAAATCCAATTGTTAGCAGTGAACACAAATGAATTTATGATACTGTGGGTTGCATTTTCAAATTTTTTAATATTCTTTGTTCCAGAACAGCACTTTATGCCAGGTAAATTATCACTTTGCAAAAGCCGTTAATAGAATGGGTACATACTTTAATCTACTATGCAAGTATCATGTTCTTGTAATACTGTATGGGGAAAATTTTTTTTAGTGTGCCAATACACCAACACATACTTAACATAATTAATTGTCAAACAAATAAACAATGTAAAAATAATTCTAGTACTAGTACTCTAGATTGAAAACAAGGACATTCAATATTTACAAGAAATCAGCTGCTAGAATGGATTAAAAATCAATGATGATACTTTAGTATATAGATAGTCACAGTTTCTAATCTAGACCATGGAATGCTTTCATATAATTTATCATTGTTTATCAATTGCAATTCCAATTTTACATTTATTAAAAACATTCAAAGTTTTGCATTAAAATCATACCCTATCAAACAATTAAAACATTAATTTACTAATAATTTACATATGGCACAAAAACATTATATTTATACTGTATACAGTAGTTTTTACAAAAATGAAAAAAATCTTAAGAAAGCGAGAGCTTTTATTTTGTTGGTAACCTAATTTCCATTTTGAACGACATTGTTACTTAGAAGGTCAATGGAGACTTCACATTGTTGGTTGGTGTAAATGTCCCGAGCTTGCACTTCTAGTTCAGTGTCTCCAAAAATCATGGTTTCCTCGATTTCCAATGAACATCCCACAGAAACCCTTGGTAACGGTACCCTTAGAGTACCAAGCTTTCTACATGATGCATCATCCACAAAAACTGGATTTTCTTCATCCGACACGTAAATAGCACATTCCAAACACTCCTCGTCTGGTTTCAGAGCTTGGAAGATCTGTGACCTTCGATAACCTGGGGTCAAAAGTTCACCTTTGGTCACATATTTAAAGAATACATCTCTACATCTTGCTGTTGTTCCAATCATGACTTTTTTGGCATCCGGATGTTTAGATGGATCAAATTCCGGCCAACTCTGGATGCCGTAGGTGTATCTTGCCACACGACGCCCAATAGTTTTGGGAACATGGCCATAATACACTGCCCCTTTTAAAACAGCAAGTCCTGGCTCTTCTGGTATTATCACTCTTTTATCCTTAAAATTATTTTTTATGGCAGTTTGAACTAGTTCACATTCAGAAAATCCACCTACCATTAATATTGTCTCTACATCATGTACATTTTTTTCTTGGAATACCTCTTTTAAATGTTTTACAATGCCTTCCACTGTTGGCTTAAAAAGGTTTTTAAATACATCCACTGCCATGTGTAGTTTCATATTTGCAAAATGTACAGATTCACCATACTTGGATTCCTTTAATACTTCTGCCATACTTTTCTTCTGTTTTTTCTTTGTTAGAGTTTGTACAGCTAAGGGTATTTTCATGTGAACTTTCCCCGTCTTCACAGTTGAAATGTTTCTTTTCTTGCTTTCAAATTCTCTAAAGAGATCCAGATAGTCTTCCATATGCTCTGTTTGTAATTCTTCAATTACTTTTTCACCAAGGATCTCCTTCATAAACTTCTCAAATTTGTCATCAACAGATTTCCCTCCCCATGGCCCCCCACTGGCCGGTCTCACTTCATCCAGTACCCCCTCTCCAGACCTCAAGTGTACCGTAATGTCAGCTGTGCCACCTTAATAAAATAACAAATTGCTTTTAATTATCATTTTAGAAAAAAAAAATCAGTACTTGATCACTACAACGTTTCACAAAATTGAATGCTGTTTATTCCATAACAATCACTTAAGTGCATATATGTTTCTCTTTTTGTTGTTGTTGTTGATTTTATTAATGTTTCAATTTAAAAAAAAAAAATGAAATGAATTTTAATCACTGCATTTTTATCTTATCTTGGGCCAACAGATTTAAGAAATGGGAAATGAAAAAAAAAAACACCAATGTAAATTTTACATGGAGCTGAAAAAAATCCTGAAAACAAAATTTCCTTACCTCCGAGGTCCACAATCATATACTTGGTTCCTTGTTTGGCTGTCCTAAGGAATGAGCTGGTGCCCACCACCCCCACCTCTGTTGGTATGTGTTGGCAGTAGATGGAGGCAGCCTCAGGCTCCAGGGCTATTAACAACTGGTTAGCATTGATCCCAGCCTTAAAGAGGTAATAAAAACAGCCATGAGTAGACGATCATTTTAATTATAAAGGATCTCTTTGTAGTGCAAACTCAAAATCTATTAACAAAGCATCCAAAATGTATCCAATGAAATAGTAAATGGTGATAAACTTCTTAATAAAATGACCTTAATACCATTGTTAATACAAACATCCTATTCATTCTAATCCCAAATGTTAAAACAAGCTGAAGAATGTAAATCAAGCAGCTGCCAGCTGACCAGTACAAAAAATTGTTTTGTACATAAAATTAAATCAAAAGGACCGTTAACAAATGCAGAGCTTCTGTATGATAATAAATACAATAAATCGTCAAGAAAACCCATCTATGTTCAGTGATGGTTCATCATTTTTTTACTTTGCCAGCAAACCTTTGGCTTCAGGCCCCTTGGCAATAAAAAGTAAACAATCTTATTGGATCTCAGTCTCATTTCTGGGTAAAGGATTTAAATAGCAAAGTGAGACTGTAGATCAAAAGTGCGCTCGTTTAAGTTTTATAGCCCCAGGGCCAGGGCATTAAACTAAGATGAGCTTACTTTTGATTTCAGTCTCAATTCTACACAATAAACTCTTTAGTTTAGTAAAAGTAATGCAGATATCAAAAGTTTTATGGCCGAGGCACTGAACTTGAGATCACCTCAATTATAAAATGTCAAAAATGAATCGATACATGTAACATTGTCTAGACAAGGAGCAGTAAATATTATACATACAGCAGTTGCTGCCTCCCTCATGAACTGTTTGGAGGGGTCATCCCAGATAGCAGGTACAGTCAGTACAAACTGGATGTCATCTAACACTATGTCTGGGTAGGCTGCCTTCAGTTTGTCAAATAAATGGTCCACAATGTACTTTATGGAATGAGTAAAAACGGTGTGAGCTTCCATCCGCTTTCTTGTCATATCATCTATGCAGATGTTCCGATGAAGATTCTAAAATAAAAAAGGATTTTTTTTCTATATTATAAACTGAGAATACAATTCTCTGTAAATATAAGACCTTATAATTAGGTTGGTTACTTGCATGATCACCATCGATATACTGTATGGAGATTTCAAAAGTTTTTTTTTTTCCGATCATTTTAAAATATGTTTTTAAAGATAATATCCTGAAGAACTATCAAACATACAACTGACACAAGTTAGACATTTTTTGATAAAATATTTCTACTTTCGTTTTCAAAAGAGTCACATATCATGCATTACCTTACAATTATGCAGAAGCATTTTAAAACGATGAAAATAATAGTAATCTTTGTATTCATCTTCATCCTCCTCGGCCAAATCAGCATAGTTTTTCTCTGCATCATACCCAAAAGAGTTAAATGATTTGTCTGGGTTCAGCAACAAAGCAGTCGGGGTTTTGGAGGACATTTGGTTTGATGACGGCCATATATTCGTTTGCACTTTGGTCCATTCCGATTTGGAAGAGAATGCGTAGCCAGAATAGGTGGTGCCAAAGTCGATGGCAGCCACGAAAAGCCTCGTACAGCAGGACGGTTTGGGAGAGTTGGCAGCGGCCATTTTTTGTCAGCTGGGAAAGAGATACACAACAAAGATCAATGTTTTGTTTACACTTCCTTAATTTTTTAGCGTTTTCATTATTCGCCTCTAAGTAACAATATTGTGTCGTTTTTGCAAATTCCTGGTTATGTATCATTAAATTAAATGCCAAGCTTCATAAAACACGTGCGTACATTCTTTATATAGACATAAATATACCTACCTGTCTAGATTTTGTACATGTAAAATATTTTAATCAGACCAGTCCGAACTTGACGATAGAGTTATCTACCGTGCAGGAACTTAGTGATAGAGGCACCAAGAGGGAGAATTCTAAAATTTTCTAAATGGTGGATTATATATGTAGTACCTGAAACGCTAACTGACCAAATTAAACATTATATATTTTTAAATCATGTTTTATGGATTATTTATTCAAATTCCGTAATTCATGGCTGTTGGAACGAGGGAGGAGGGGGAGGGGCATGGGGGCGTGTCCCATCAATAATTTTCTTGATAAGTAGTAAGGTGAAGAAAGCAATGGAACCCTACAATATTATTAGTCAGATGCTGTAACCACCGAGATATCAAGACTAAAAACCCCTGTGGTCAACATGACCCAACCCATTCTCAAAAACAAAATCCTGGTCACGGCACCAGAATAATAGGAAAGAAGGAAAAGAAATAATGTGTAATGCCGAAAATAAAACCCATGCATATGATTCTAGTCAGGTGCTCTAGCCACTGAGCTATCCAGACGGATATTCAAGGTCCACCTCAAAGAAAGTTGCTCTACCTATTTATCAGTTCATACCCATTCGTAATCTTGCTACCACTCCAACCATGCATATATGTTCTTAATAAGATTAATTTGTAATCTCATTTGAGTATGAAAGGGCCTGTTCGTTTAATGAAGTTTTACATAATTTCGATGTAAATCATAGCTTGCTCAGTTTGATTACCTTGATGGAAGAAAATCTGAAAGACCCAGATTCGGAAGTGGACCCCTGGACTTTAGTGGCATACCATGCTTGTAATTGTTTAACTGATAGTCAAAAAGGTAGAATTGTTGTTTCAGTTAAGGAAATACTGTTTTATATATTTTAAGATCTGTTTTTTTTTTAACTCTTGTAATAAATCCAATTTCCTGTAATACTACTTTTCAGAAGATTCTATTTTGACTACGAGTGACTTTTTCGTCGCCAAGACACACTACATGTACATGTAACAACTATTTTTTGTACTTTCACACGACTCTATAGCACAAGATAAAAACACAGTAGTTATTATATTATTTCCTTTTAGTAGCAATTCCTGATGTTACATCTAGTACCTGTTCGACTGCTTTAAAAAAACGGCATATTTGAGAGTAACTAAATGGAAATTTATGGAACGCCAAATTTACACACTAGTACGGTGTATGTTCAGATTAATTATATGTATCGTGAATTGAAAGTACATTTGAATTAAAGACATGTCTATGTAAATTCGGCGTTCCATAAAACCTAGCTTCAAAATAGACACGTCCCACGGCAGAATTGCAAAGTTTCAAATGTAAAAGAATTTTCCTTTCTATTACAACAATTTACAATTGCTAAAGATAATCAATACAGTGTGTATAATAAAAATTATCCTATCTTGTAGCATTGATTCTATCCGTGTTGTGCCCCTTTTCGGCGCTGAATTTCGATATTAAAACTGAAACATAAACAATACCCACCCCCCAAAAAAAGCAAGGTTCTAGTACTTAAAAATACTCATCTTTTAATTAAGAATTCTTTTTTTAATCAACTTATGAATACATACGGTAGATATCCATATATGTACATGCCTTTTTAATGAATCAAACCTTTTTTTTTTACTTTCCTTTAAATTCATAATCACGAGGGACACATTCTTAACGGGTCAATTTTACATTAAAAATACTATGGGGGTGGCTTTAAAGTTGAGTTCATACACTGAAAGAAAAACCTAGTGAATTTAACTAGTGTGTTTCGTAAAGCGTTGATCGTGATTAGTAAACTTTCAGTTTACTGGTTAAGATAGTGAGTTGTGGAGCGGGGGTCGTATAGAGACTTAGATACCTAGTGAAAGTTACTCATCAATTCTAAATTTACTAATCTTATCTAGTAAATATACCAATATCTGGTAAAACTACTATTAAGGTAGTGATTGTATGGACAGTGAATCTACTAGTTTTCTTCGTGACATTAACTAGTTATTTTGTTTACAGTGTATAAGAAAGTTTGGGACTTCCAAACAGGTCACCGCTAGATAGTTATAGATACCTTTCAAATTTAGATTTAAAGTTTTAATGTAAAACGTGCAAGAAAGTTTGCATTTAAAGAGTGACACTTAAAATAGCTTCATGTGAGCCATTTGTGGAACCTGTTTGTAAAAGAACCAATATAGTCGGTCTCTGAAGCCAAAAATATCGAATAATTATTCTATCATTTGGTATGATACGAACTATGGATAAGCGCTAAACTTTCACCATATTCGTTTTTCATTCTTATATTATATTATGACATATCTTAATTATTGTATGTAATTGACAATAAATGAAAGGAAACAAAGTTTCCAAAGACCTTACACTGACATTTGGACTTTTCCATAAGTCAATTACATTGAAATAAAAAGTAGATAGTGTTTTCATCGAATATAACATTTATTGTCTCTACGTAGATTCTACTCTTTTTTTCTATTCACAGAGTTAAGATATGATATCTGAAAATAAAATGTTTCGTTGAGTCATCAAGCAAGGGGCGTAATGGAAACTTTTATTTCAGGTGACATACATATTTTACACAGGTAAATAATAAAGAACTACTTTCGGTTTAGTATACTTATTTACGCTGTTAAGGTAATGGGTAACAAACCCATAAAACAGCGATGGACAGAAACCAAAAAGAGGTTAGTATATTTATCGAATCGTTTAAACATTAATAAAAAATCTACATAATAATTATCTTGCATCTGATATGCATGACACGACTTATTTTTTGTAAAAAATGCACATTTTTCCCACAGACTAAATACCACGCGTCCTCGATCTACACAATCCACCAATTACGAAAACACACCTGTAAATCCAAAACCAGGTGACGAGGGGGAATATACCACGTTGGCACCTGGGGGTACCTACGAAGAAATTCGAAACTTGAGGGTCAGGCACGAGTTATTCGTAGTGGCTTTAGATATCGGCACCTCGTCTTCGGGCTACGCGATTTCGGTTTACGACGAATACAAACGAGACCCTCTACAAATCAGTACCTTCAGTTGGAGATCCAGGACGGATGGCTTCCAGCACTTCAAGACTTTGTCTGCTGTTCTGTTGAATCCGGACGGAGAGCTTCACAGTATTGGTTACGATGCTGAGTATCATTATATCAATTTCTTGTCAGAGGACGAACGCCAGGAATGGTTCTACTTCCAACACTTCAAAATGAGGCTGTATGATCAGAAGGTATCCAATTCCAATGTCTTGGAAATATATCTCAGTTAAATACTTTTAAACTCCATCCTCATAACATCAGGGGTTCTAAATCTAAAGAATGGACTCCGGACCCCTTTATAAGGGTGTAATGTCAAAATGCCTTGCATTCATCTTTTCCTTTATAAAATTTGAATACTTTGTGCAATTATAAACTAAAACATAAGACAAACCGTATAAATGAGACAATAATACATAAAAGGATAGATATATAACAATATACGGTTATAATATGCATAATAAGATGATGTTGAAAAGAAGTAGAGTGTAGAAAAAACAGACTGATTTGATACGTATGCAAATTGTTGTTTGTTTAATATAAGAGTATTTACATTTCTGTGGCTTTTAAAATCATACCACGATCAATAATAGAATACAAAGGTTAAAAAAGAACTACCTGTATGTCTTCGCATATTTGCCCTTCAAAGTGTCCTTTATATTAAACAATATCAGTTATGCAGTATAAGAGTAAGATTCGAGAGTATTATACGTAAATTAGTTGAATCTGATTTCCCCATGCAAGAAACATTTTAAAAATCATTGATTAAATCACTGTAACTACCCATGGTACCCATGAAGATAAATATATGTATATTTTATTGTAATGCTTATGGGATGTACGTCCCACGGAATATAGAACTAAACTATAGATAAGTTAACAGGGGTATGGGCTTTGTCATGTTGTAAATTTTGTATTTACTGCCACCCGGTAAATATAAAATTTACAACATGAAAGCTTGGTGAACCCACCAGCATTCTTCATGCAACTTGGTGCAGATGTAGTCTCATATCAAAAGGGTTTAATGAGCTTTGATTACTGTTTGATGTTTTCTTACATATTATACAGATTTCTAGAGATCTTGTTCTACACGATGTGAAAGGAAAGCCGCAAAAAGCGTTGAAGATATTTTCTTCCATCATCAAAGGCTTAAAGGACGATTTTACAACAAGATTGAAGGAAAGAATAAGTAATTTTGGAGGAGACTCTATTGACGAAGACATCCATTGGGTGATCACTGTTCCTGCAATATGGGACGAAAAAGCCAAACAATTTATGAGAGTTGCAGCACAAAAGGTCAGTCATAAAAATGTATAAAGCACCCATCTATATCCAGATTTATATTATTCACAGGTTGTTGATTTTGATTGAAGCTGAAGAAATTAGGAAAATAATGAAATATTTTCAGGCTGGAATTTTAAACGATAAGCTGTCAATTGCATTGGAACCGGAAGCAGCAGCTCTCTATTGCCGTTACCTTCCGGTTGAGAGACTCACCAGACCGGAAGACTTGGACGGAAAATCCAAACTAAAGACATTCTCCCCCGGTGCAAAGTATCTTATTGTTGATCTAGGAGGTATGTTATGAGATTGAATGGTTAAAACTTTCAATGAAATTAAAATTGAAAAGTACATGCACAGTTTCTTCCTTGTCATAGACTTTGCTACTTTAAAAGTGTAATCTTCAGTTGATATTTTTTTGTGCTAGGTGGAACGGTGGACATTACAGCACACGAGATTTTACCTAACGGGGCTCTACAGGAAGTCATGGCGGCCTCTGGTGGCAACTGGGGTTCCTTGGCAATCAATGAAGAATTCGTGAAGTATTTAGAGAATCTGACTGTACCCGGAATTACGGAGATCATTAGGCGAGAGCATCCCGATGATTTACTCTCGTTCATGTCTGCTTTTGAGAACAAGAAAAGAGTTTTCTCAAAAGAAGATGAACGGGTAATTCTTCAGGTTCCTCAATCCTTTCGCGATATAATGAGTGAAAAACTTGGCAAGTCGCCAGAAAGTCATGTAGAAGAAATTAATAAAACACAGGAAGTGAAATTTCAGCGGGATAAAATGTATATTTACAACGAAGCTTTCACCAATTTACTGAAAGGAACAATTGAGAAAATTATTTTACATGTACTTGCAATATTAGAATCACATCATCTTCATGTGGAAAGTATAGTTCTAGTTGGTGGGTTTGCAGAAAGCGATCTTTTGAAATCGACGTTCAGAACGTCATTTCCGGATACTAGAATAATAGTACCGGAAGACCCTGTTCTTGCAGTGCTTAAAGGTGCCGTTTTATTCGGAAGAAATCCTCAAGTTCTGCAGGCGCGTGTCTGCCGTTACACATACGGTGTTTGCACAACAGTTGATTTTGACGAAACACGTTTTCCTCCAGACAAAAAGATTGTTTTGGGTGGTAACGCGCTTGCAAAAGACATTTTTAACATTCATATTCGAGCGAATGAGACTGTTCACGTTGGACAGCGGGGTACTCCGAAGAGGTACTTCTTAAACAGAGCCGACCAAGAACAATTAGATCTTGAAATTTTTGCCACGAAGAATAGCAATCCTAAGTATGTTACTGAGGAAGGGGTTGTTTCTTTGGGTTTGCTAGTCATCATGGTTCCAAAGGCTCAAACACAGTGCAACGACAAAAGACATTTTCTCGTGAGTTTCCTACTGGATGGAACGGAAATGGAGGTTGAAGCCGTTGATTCTGTGACAAATGAAACAACTGGGGTTAAGTTTGATTTCATTGGTTGAAAATTGTTACCTGCCAGGGTATTATATTTTATCTGTCCAATGTCCATGAATGTCACATAATACTCCTGTTTTTTTGCTTGTACAAATAAAGTGCCATATTTATAGCTTGATATTTTTAAAAGCAAATATTGGATATTTTGTATGAAGGAGAGAGCATCGTCAGTCAACCAGTCACAGCCGCCATGTGCTCCATGTCATGATCGGGTATACGTTAAAATGCAGACAATTCAGTGTATAAAGGACTGGAAATTAGTATAAAAAAATGTCAGTCGGCATTTGATTCAACTATAGGCTGTTTTTGCTGAAAAGTTCATTGTATCGTTCCAAAAACTTACAAAATGATGACGTAAAAAGGAAATGGAGGATATCCCTGTTTCATCAACTTCTTTGTCAAGAGCTTGTCTCGTTTTAGACGTTGTTCCCACGTAGAGCATGCTCTCACCTATTGTATCAACTAAGAGACATGCATGTAAACCCTATTTGCAGATGATACGAGTATATGGCTACATAAATACGAAAAGATGACGATTGGAAAGTTGAAATTATCACATTTATCGTAAAGCTTGGGTGTTCGGTTACCAGTCGACAAATGGAAGTAACTATTGTTGATTGATAATACGTCGTCGATTTATCTTGTGTCACGTTGAAGGCAGTAGGTTTCATAATACCTTAGTACATTACACCGTATATTAAATTTAAAAAAAATAAATAAGAAATTATTTCTTAGCAAACTCTTCGATCAACTGGTAAAAAATATACTCTGGTATGAAAAGTTTTAATCAAAACATGTGATCAGATATTATGGAATATAAGAAATTAAACATGAAAATACTGAATCTACTTTGCAGCTCTTTGAGCTAAACTGAAAGCATTAAATTATTCTGGATGCTGAAGAGAATATCAGGGGCGTAGCTACGTTAGGCTCGAGTAGGCACGTGCCTACACATTGTCACTAAAAAAAAAAAAAAAAAAAAAAGCCCATAAATTTTTGCAAAAAATAATTTAGGCCCAATGTTCATACATACAGGTTTTAAAATCGGATATAAAATTATTATTCGTCTGACCTTTTCTTTTTATAATGTTCCTACATGACATTAAGGTGCTTGTCGTAATAGAGAATTAGTACATACACGTCAAGCGTTTAATTGATTATTTAAGTCATGGATAAGTTTATCACCCGGAAAAATTTAAATTCAGTGTGTAGACCAAAATCTGTATCTAATGACAGCAACAGTGCCATAAATAACAGTGATGTGCCTACCTATCCAGATCTTGGTAAAATTATTCCCGAGTCAAAACACCAAATTTCAGATCACTGCAAAGTGGAAATTCTCAAATCTAAATGGCATCAGCATGACTTTGAATTTCCGTCAAGGTTAGTACATACTACAATATGAACACATGAAGAAACCTTACAGTCTTCTAAAATTTGTGAAATATGCTGATGGTGCCGACACCGTGCGAGCGGAGTACTTGTTATTTAAGGCCTAAGGGCCTATAAAGATCAGGCGCGGATCCAAGATTTTTTTTTCCGGGGGGGGGGGGGTCCAATTCTGTCCAAAAAATTCTACCCTAGACCTTTTCCTCTCCACAACTCATTTAATGAAATAAAAGATGGTCTTCCCAAACCCCAAATTCTCAAAATATTAATTCGGGGGGGGGGGGGGGGCGAGTACTTTTTAAAATGACAGTAACTCTTTCCAAAATTCTCAAAAACCAAATCGGAGGGGGGGGGTGGGGGTGTGAGAGAGAGAAGAGTTTTTGCTACTCGCTACGTCAATTACATACCCCTCTTCCTTCCACCTTTTACCAATATATTCCGGGGTGGCAAACGAATAATTTTTTGTAATCCACAAATTCCAGTGGGGGGGGGGGGGGGGGGGGGGGGTCAGAGGTCATTTTTTAGTTACTCTACATTCTCTATTTTGCTATTCCGCAAATTCCAGGGGGGGCCCCTCAACCCCCCCCCCTTTAGATCCGCGCCTGAACATGTTAACGCATTCATTTAGGGGTGGTGCATGCTGACGTAGGCCTAACATCGTATTTCATTTGAAATTGAACCAAAACGGGCTAACCTTAGACTATAACTTTACAACTGTTTTAGATATAAAATAGCGACGTTAACAATGTGTTAATGACAAGATTCAAAATATCCTATAGATCTAGTACGTACAGGGTTCAATTTTAACAAATATAATTCTTGTAATGTTTACTACTAGGCCTAAAATAAAATATCGTTTGTTTCCCCTTACCCACCGACCCACCAAAATCGCCGCGACTCAAAAAATTTTATTGCCTCATCTGAGGAAAAAATATTTTTTAAATGATTTCATTCCTATCATACCTGAACTCGGTGGATGTGTCTAATATATTTGCTATTAAACATTGATAAACAAATTTAAACTTAATCAAAAAATTACAAATGATTGAACTTTATTGTCTGATATCTAATAATTGTTGTTGGAAAAAAAATAAAATATTTTTCCTACCTACCGACCCTTAGGTCACAATGCTGAGTCGGAAAGGGGAAACAAACAATATTCTAATTTAGGCCTTATGATAATATATTTATGGGATTCAACATACCTTTCTTTGCATATACGTAAATACTAATAAAAGGTATGTTGAATCCCATTAATCTAATTAAACTTTATCTAATTATGTGCGAGCTCTCTGTGACAGTCCGTGTTGCTTTGAACACAATATTTGCTGCTTTAGCTTCGTACCTAAATATCAGTAAACAATGAATTTATTTACCAAGATCATTGTTCAGATACACATCTACAAACTATAAGAAAGTAGAAAATTATTTTCATTCTAAATATTACCTTTGATCTTTGATATTTAGTCCTCAGACACTTGTGACATGGATCAAGACCCCCACCCCCTATTCCCACCTTATTAAGGTAAAAACTCATATACATGTGTCCTTCTAGCATGAATTACATTGACAGGGTTGCATAGTACTTTACATTGGTTTTCCTTTATTATGTTATCATTTGAATTGTAGATATTTGTACATAAAGCAGTCATATAAAAACAAGTCACACATCAAATTATCAATTTCATCATTTATTTATATTGATATTGGATAGACACATTTAATTTTTCTTGTACTTGCAATATAGATTTAAATCAACCACCCCTTTTTTTGTCTTTGTCAAATTTGGTTTAAAAAATGTTGATAAGATTTGCTGATTACATAACTTTAATAATCCATGTCAGAGACAATAAATAATTTTTTGGGGCTTAAATACAAAAAAAGTCAATCCCAGATTTAAAAAAAAAGAAATAAAAAAACAAAAAAAGAAGAAATGAAATTAGCTGATTAGAGGAGGGATGGAATATTGATCCAAGTCCCAAGTACCGAACGTAAAATAATAAGCATTGTTGGTCGTTTGCACAAAGAAAATTGAGAGTTGGATGAGTGTACCTGAATGCTGGCTATATTTAAATTTTACAGGTCCTTTGGTACCAAATCTCGGCGATTCCAACCATCTTGGTTGAAAGACCATCATTGGATGCGCTATTCTATTTCCACCGACTCTGTGTTTTGTGCGTACTGTTTCTTATTTGGCAATGCTGATTCGAAAGAAAAATCGTTCTTATCCAGTCCAATGACAGACTGGAAAAATCTGCTATCACTTGGGCGGCGCCATGAAAATTTAGCATTTCATAAGGGTTGTGTAACGGCGGGGGAAGAATTTGTACGAGTAAGTGAAGGGAAGGGAGATACCGTTGTGAGCATGCTATCATCAAGCCACAAAAAACATACTGAGAGAAATAGACATATACTTAAGACAATTATCGAAGTGCTATTACTATGTGGTAGGCAGAACATCCCTATAAGGGGACACACTGAAGATAAGAGTAACTTCATTGCCATCCTTTCTGAATTTGCCAAGAGAGACCCCGTCTTAAGCGACCACCTTGCCACGCGTCACGCGTCACGCTCTACCTACTTATCCCCTGATATCCAAAATGAACTAATCAATCTGCTTGGAAACCAGGTGCGCAAAAACATTGTGGATTCTTGCAGGAATTCTAAGTTTTTCGGCATTATTGCTGACGAATGTACCGATTCCTCTACAAAAGAACAGATGTCTTTGTGCATTAGGTTTCTTGATAGTATCGATGGTTGTCTTGAGATACGAGAAGAGTTTGTTGGCTTTAAATATGCAGAGAGTGTGAAAGGTATGGCAGTTTCCAATATCATCATTGATTTTCTTGCTGAATTGAACCTGAATATTCAGAATCTACGAGCTCAGTGCTACGATGGAGCTGCTAACATGTCGGGGAAATACAGTGGCGTCCAGGCCAGGATACTTCAAGTTGTTCCCGAGGCTTCTTATGTTCACTGCAAAGCACACTCGCTGAATCTTGCATTGATACACAGCAGCAAGGTTATGTGCATTCGAAACATGATGTCAACAGTGCAGGATGTGGCATTTTGTTTTGATTATTCTGCAAAGCGTTTGAAAGCATTCTCCGACGAACTGGCTGAAAACGATGACGTACAGGAGCAGATGGACCGACGAACAAAACTCAGAACACTGTGCGAAACGCGTTGGTCAAGTCGAGCAGATTCACTGTTCACCTTCCGCTCAGCTTTCCCCGTGGTCGTTGCTGCCCTCCAATCACTTGAAGATGCTAAAGATGAGAAGGCATCGCAATACTTAGCTGCTATTTTGAGATTTGAATTTATCATTGCACTAGTTGTAGCGGAACACGTTTTGAGCTCTACAGTAGCCTTAACAAACTATCTTCAAAAAAAGGACATAGACCTTTTAGAAGCAGTAACAGAGGCCAAAGTCGTTATCAGGAGATTAACTGATGAAAGAAACGACATTAGTGTTTGGGATGCATTGTATGGCAGGGCAACTGAAATAGCTGCAGAGCATGACTTGCAGCCATGCGTTCCAAGAAGAGCAGGACGTCAACAACACAGAGAAAATCATCCCCTAAACAACCCGTCGGATTACTGGAGAGTTTCGTTGTATCTCGTCTTTTTAGATCACCTGGTAAACGAAATATCTAGTCGAGTAACAAAGAACGAAGAGAGATTTTTAATTTCGTATTTGCTACCAGCCAAACTGCAAGACCTTACAGCGGATGTTACAGATCGTCTGTACAACGCCTATAAGTCAGACCTCACTAGCAAAGTAGAGTTTGTGGATGAAATAACAAGATGGAGGATTAGATGGAATCTTGCTGGTACCGATACAGGACCGAATAAAATCATCGATCTCCTGAATAAAACCAACAAAGACATTTATCCTGGCATTTTCTGCGTTCTGTCCATTTTCTTGACCATGCCAGTATCCTCGGCCTCTAGTGAGCGTTCGTTTAGTGCGATGCGTAGAGTTAAAAATTATTTGAGAACAACTATGGGAGACGAAAGGATGTCCAATCTTTCTCTGTTGCATGTACAACGTCATATGCCAGCTGACATTGATGCTGTAATTGACAATTTTGTTGCTGTGAAAAACAGAAAAATCAATTTCATTTGAAGGAGAATTTGAATTTTAAAGCAATAAAAAATGATAAAATTTTGTGGATAATCTTTTTAAAATCTTACACTAAATCCTATCAATTTCATATTACATGCACAAGTCATTTTTAATACAACACGTAATACCACATGTCATGACTATGCGTGCAAAATCTGGTACAAAAATTCTTTAAAATTACATCATTTTAAAGATATTTGTAATACAAAATTTAATGTCTATTTCAATATTTTTGATGCTCAGAGTAGTGCAAATGAGTCCTAATATTTCAAAAATTTCTCGGGGGTGACCCCCCGAACCCCCCCAGCGGGAGGGGGCGACCCCCTCCCGCACCTACCCCCCCTCGGCGCTTCGCGCCTCGGTGAAACCTTCGGTTTCATTCTTCGGCCTACACGTTACAATAGTCCTAGCTACGCCCCTGGCTCAGATCATAGGCGCTCCCCATGTAATTCTGTAAATGACGTATGATAAGTATATATAGTATATATAGGTCTACCCCTCTATACTATAAAATAATGTACCCCAAATAGAAAAAAAAAAACTCCGAGGAATATGACATTTTTAAAACGTGCTAATTTCAGCGAGTTTTCATTTTTATTTAATGAGGGTATTCAGACAAACCAAAAAACACATAATACACAAAATACACCATCCTGAAACCAAGCGCCTATGTACTTTCCCCACTAAATATTGTCAAACTTCCGAAAGTTATTTTCGTACGAGTTGTTGAAAATCGACGAAATCGACTTCTTCCGGCCGAGATCAGCTTTTTTATATAGGATCCGGGCCACAATTAAAGGGTGAAGGTCAAATGGCTAAAACGTAGCACATGTAGGAAATTCATATGCCTCCCTTTCAATGATAAAAATAAAATTAGCTCACGTTTTAGATACTTTTGGGGTATAGAATAAAAGTAGAGTGTCTAAAGTTTACAATGATATGCAGCAAGGTGCATTTCAAGCAAAAAATATGCCTAGAAATATGAATTGAAAAGAGCATTCATTTGGTTTGTTTACACTTTTTTTGCCAAGCGAGAGCTATCCTGAGGTCATGACGTCAGAAGTTTATTAATAACCAGGGAATTCCACATTCAACACCCCTATTTCTGGATGTGAATATTTATCTGACACATTGCTCTATCATGTGGTCAAAGATATTTTGGAAATGAAGATTTTTTAAAAAGTTACAAAGAAAATAAAGCACATGTTTTTACTATATAAGTCTATATGTAAGCTAATTGTGGTCCGGGTCCATGTGTGACGGTGTAATAGAGAAATGTTTGAAAACAAGAGAAAGCAACGGAATGGTGCTGGATAAAAGTTTGCAAATATTTTATTTCAATAAATTACCCGATGCTGATAACCAGCCCAGTGTACCCCAGAAACCCTTAAAGTAAGTCAGTCAGAGGTCCCAGGCGAAATCCACAATGGCGCCCAGTTGCAGGCCTTGGATATTTTATAGTATAGAGGGGTAGCGGTAACTGGAAATTCCAGAAGCCCCCAGTTTTTTGGAGAATACCCATACAGAAGGGTAGAAGCCCCAATAAAGTGGTAGAAGCCCCATAAAATTGAATGATTTGGGGTACATAAAACCCTAAGGTGATGTTTAAATGACTGATATTGATATCCGTAAACTTTTATAGCCAATCTTACCTCAGAGTCGACAGAAATTCTTTTCTTCATATACCGTACACCACGCCCGATCTAAAATCGCGATCGCTGAAGTCGTTTCGAGTAAATCATTAGCGTAATCTTGATCAAAAGTGAATAATATAATATATGATTTTTATTTTCAAAAAAAATATGAAAGGAAAGTTAAGACTATAAACGAAGCATTAAGTATTTACATATTTCCTAAATGAAATAAAATATGAATTATGAACATATTCAGGGGCGGATACAGGATTTGTGGTTAGGGGGGCGTGGATAACTTTGTTGAGGCAAGGGGTCTGGGGGCCACCTTAAGGCCCCCAGTGGGTCTAGGGCGAAGCCCTGGTGGGGGCCCAGGGGGTGAAGCCCCCTGAAGCTCCTGGTAATTCGTGTATTTTAGAGTAAAACCAGGCACAATAACAGTGCATATTTTTCAATTATTTTTGTTAAAAGTATATAGCATATAGGTTGGGTCCCAGGGGGCGAAGCCCCCAGAAGCTTCTGGGTTTTCGCGTATTTTAGAGTAAAACCAGGCACATATTAACCAGTGCATATTTTTCAATTATTTTTGTTAAAAGTATATAGCATATAGGCCAGGTCATGTTTGAATAATAAATGTATTGAATGTTTCTCAATTCTCATTGCATTGTAACACATGCCACTATATAATAAACAATTTAATTACTTAATTATAACTTACTAATAGTGGTATTGGTTAGTGATGTATGCGTACCAGAGTACGAGTGTTTAATATGTACTAGTCATATCATACTTTGAATGGTGGGGGCCCAGGGGGCCCGGCGCAGCCCCTGGAAGCTCCTGGATTTTTGTGTATTTTAAGAATAAAACCAGGCAAAATAACAGTTATTTGGTTAGTTTTGTACCAAAATGTGGCATTATAAATATTAGTCACTTCATACTTTGAAAATTTTAGGGGGGGGGGCGTGCGCCCCCCACGCCCCCCTTAAATCCGCCAGTGATATTTCATGGCCTACTTGAATACTTTTATACACACTGGTTTGTACCTACCAAAGATAATTTTATATCGAAAATCATTATGGAAAATATGAAAATATTTGTATAGCTGATGTGTACTGTTACATAAAAACGTTGTGATTTAACCTGTTGATAGACATTACAGTGAAAATACTAATTGATTGATTTTTTTTAAATGAATTTAACTAGGCAATTAATCAATTAATAAAGTTCCTTTTTTTAATTCCAATCATTTATAATATATAATTAAGTTAAATTAAGTAATTAATCAAGTTGTTAATTTATTTAATTTCTAAGGTATTTTTTTTTTCTTTCTATGTTTATTTAAATTTGAAATTCAGAATTCATGCATTCATTATTATTTTCCAGTTACTTAGATTTGTTTTTTTTTTTTGGTTGTGTTTTATTTGGGGGAGGTCTTTTATTATTATTATTATTTTTTTTTTTTTTTTTTTTTTTGTGTGTGTGCAATAGAAAAAATTATATTCATTGATATTAGAAAGCAATATGTATCCATTAGAATGAAATTATAAGAATCCAGGTTTATGAAATAAAAAAGTTTCATAAAAAATTAATAAAATGTGCATAATTGCATATGCACTTGTAAAGTGGGTATTATGAGAATATGGTGAGAATATTATTTAAACATCAGCTAGCTGTGTTGTTTTGTACTGGGATAGAGAGGCACCCCTGTGTGTTTGTACATGCACTATATACACAGCTGGTCAAGTTGACAATAAACTCCTTTTGTTCAAACACCTGTTCTCAGCTAGTCTAGACCAACCCCCCTCTGGCAGGGCATGTGTATATACACTGATCATTAACTAAGTTCAATTGTTCTTGACTTTCATTATTGAATTGTAAAATAAATGATTTGTAATATGATCTTAATATGATATGTAATATGATCTTCTTTTTAAATACTGGTGATATGTTTTAAATACAAATTTAATTTTAAGGACATTAGCACACACATAAGGAAAATATGAATTTTGATAATTTTGATACTAATAATAATGATAAATTAATAAAGACCTTTTAAATTAGTAATACCTGAATAATATTCATAGTTTCCTTATGTTCCCAGCTCTAGCCACGTGGAGGCCTCCTTAATTGTAGAGCCATGATTTGAATTTTGAAACAAAAATATTAAAGCCAAAGGACCGAAAGATAAAAAGAAAATAAAAACTTAAAAAAAGCATACTTTATCATTATTCCTAGTCAATCTTTTGTTCATGTAAAAACATATTACAGCCAAATGAAAGTAATTGACAATAAATTAATAATTATAAAAAAAATTTCATAGAAAGGAATTTATAATTCAATTTTGAGCAACATTTAAAAAAAAATTATGTTCCAAACCTAACTTAACATAACACAACACCAAACAGTATTCACTGGTCAGCACCCGTCTGGCGGGGGAGGAATACTGCCTGATACTAACCCTATTCTAAGTTCTAACCTAACACAACATGCACCAAACAGTATTCACTGGTCTGCACCCGTCTGGCGGGGGAGGAATACTGCCTGATACTAACCCTATGCTAAGTTCTAACCTAACACAACACCAAACAGTATTCACTGGTCTGCACCCGTCTGGCGGGGGAGGAATACTGCTTGATACTAACCCTATTCTAAGTTCTAACCTAACACAACACCAAACAGTATTCACTGGTCTGCACCCGTCTGGCGGGGGAGGAATACTGCCTGATACTAACCCTATGCTAGAAAAAATAATAATTATACAATTTTAAAAAAAATTTTGGGTTCCTGGTTTAAGACTGACTGATTATTGGCCTTTGATCTACTGTATTTTAGATTTTTTTTAAAGTTGTAGTCCTGTCCACTTTTTTACGCTTTTGTTGACCTATCTTTTTACCTAAGGTACGTGGTTTAACTTATAGTGGTAGTACCGTCAGTTGATGTGAGTGTCGTTTTATCTGGCGGAATAAAAAGTTTGAATCTTTTGTTTACTTTACTTTTTTTTTCTTTTTAATTTTTTTAATTCATATTTGTTTTAATTTAAAGACAATTGAAAATGTAAACAACTGATGTAAAATATTTAAAAAATCTGATTTTTTTTCTAAGAAAAGAACTTAGAAAGGATACTTTGAAATAAACCATTTATATACAGTGTATTTGAAACTTTATATTTGAAAATTGATATTAATTTGCTATTTCTTTCCAGGTTTCGGTGTTTTCATATTTTGGCACATTTATTTTTTGTTCTCTTTTAACATTTAAGTAAATATTATTTTCATTTTTAATTATTATTGTTGCTTTGGACCTCTAAATTTCTAAATTCATAATTTGTCTAAAATCTCAAATAAATTCAGTATTTTCATATTTTGAGATTTATTTATTTATTTTTTTTGTTCTCTTTCAAACATAAAACTAATTATTAATGAATTAATTATCATTCGAATTTAGATCGGGCGTGGTGTACGGTAAACCAGTAATAGCGCCCGATTTCTGTCAACTTTGAGGTAAAATTGGCTATAAAAGTTTACGGATATCAATATCAGTCATTTAAACATCACCTTAGGGTTTTATGTACCCCAAATCATTCAATTTTATGGGGCTTCTACCACTTTATTGGGGCTTCTACCCTTCTGTATGGGTATTCTCCAAAAAACGGGGGGGCTTCTGGAATTTCCAGTCACCCGAGGGGTAGATCTATATATACTTATCATACGTCATTTACAGAATTACATGGGGAGCACCTATGGAAGAGATAGAAAATCATATAAACTGACAGTTGTCTACTTTTTTCTTTTGTTAATTTATTCGTGTAAACAAAGAGAGTGCATTTTTATTTAATCCTTTTTTTTTTAATTAAAACTTTTTTTCGCGTAATTACGCGATACTGTGCTCACCAAAAATTTCACTCTCGCGTATATTACCATTCCTAAAGTATAATATTAATTTAACGAATATATTACTAGATCCATTTCAAAAATCAGGCCATATTCAAAGGATAAAAAAATATTAGGAACACATTTTATCCATCTCAGAGTTTTATAATAAATTTATTTTCATTCTCCTGAATTTAAGGAATATCCCTTGCAATACCATGAAAAAAAAAGTCTCAAGATACTTTGTATAATGAACATGTATATGTTAAGGAAAAAGATCACGGTTTAATTATGTATCTTAAACTAAACACGGAAGTAGTAAAGGCTCCTCAACAGCTCCCCAATGTATTTGATAAGATATCATTTGATTGTTCTCTATGAAAATTATCAACCACAAGTGAAGTACATGCATTAAAATTTCTGTAATTCTCCACTTACCGTATAATCCCTATTAACCGCCCCTGCCCCTATAAGCGCCCCCTTAGGTCTTTTTCAATTGCCAGGAAATAAGGGCCCCCGTACAGTGATTAAAATTATCTAGAATCGTATCAAAGATGTGAAGAAAGTAAAAATGAAACGTGTCTTTTATCCAATTTCTCGCTGGAAAATGAATAATTTAGCATAATTTGGGTGAATTATCTTCACTTAAAGTAAAGTTAGACATCATTTTAGTGGTTCCTTGTATTTATATTTTTTTCAAAAGATTTTTTGAAGTAAATATGATATTAAATATTATAAAGAGAATACTAAATTAACCGCCCCCTTTCGCAATTTTCTAAGCGCCCAGGGCGGTTATTAGGGATTATACGGTAATAATGTCTATTTTCTTGGAAATAAAATCAAGCTTTTCTGAATTTGTACCTCTGCTTAATAAAATAACAAATAAGTCATTGTAAAAAGCACTTTTTATCAATATTAAAGTCTGATGGCATTTTAGCCATCTGAACACATATTTACTTGCTTTTACAACATAAATAAATACTTACATGGAATGATTCAAATTTGTACATACATAAATATCATTATGGTTAATTCTAAAGTTCAGCATCTGGTAAGTTTCCAATTTTTAAAAACAAGTATTGATGTTACAATTATACATTTTCTATGATATAAAACTTTCAACACAAGGTAATGAACAATTCAAAAGAAAATAAAGTTAATTCTTAGCACTTTTTATTGTGTCAAATGTTTTATGCAGAAACCCTGGAGATTATAATAGAATAAATGTGTAAGAACTTGAAAGATAGATTAGTAAAGGAAGCATTCATTTCCTGAAATTGATCCTTCTAAGGCAAAATCATGCTATAATGACCTTAAAATTCAGTGTAAATCTGAAGTTATTCAATCATGATCAGAAATGTAATTCAATCATGTTAGGAAATATTAATGTCTTGCTGAAGAACAGTACATCTATTGCTTTTTTGAAACTGTAGTAAATATTGATAAAAATGACAAAATACAACTCAAACAAACATACAAGATAATCAGTAAACACACAATATGGCATGAATGTATGGCAGTAGAACTAAGCAGTGCAAAAAACGATAAAGTGAAAATAGCACAGTTACAACACTGAAGGAAATATGTACAGCTTATATAATGACAAAACGATCATATATATACTGGTAAATGCAAAAAACAAAAATTGATGATGAAAATTTCTTATGAGATATCTAAATCCTGAGGGTTCCTTTTCATATCATAAATATGAATAAATACGAACCATCTGCATAAATGACATGATGTTTTGTACAAATTCTCGATGTTTCTTTTACAGGATAATGTGAAAAGAAATGATATAACATAAATGTTGTTCACTGAGATCAAAATTGTATGGATTTCCTTGACATCTCTCTAAGGCATATAATTCCTGCCAATAGTTTTCGACCAATTACACAATTACTATAACTGATATGGGAAGAAAACATTAGCAAAAGATTTTTCCTTTTATGTCAATGATCTCCCCTTAATCTAAGTTAGTTTTATAAATAAAAGTTGACAAGATATGCTAAACAAAAATCACAGCTATCAGATAAAGCCCATTCTATCCTAGATATCTAGAATTATATATGTATCACAGAACAAATAATATTTAATTAATATTTCAATTAATAAATATGTAAATTGAAATCTAGCAATCTTTGTTTTCAAATCACAATATTAAGTACCATTTTGAATACAGTGCCAAAGACTTCGGCAGAAATTTTACCTTGCATACACGAGGTAGATAATAAATAATTTCAAAGGCTAAGATTAAGTAGAATGAGATGTAGTGGCAATTCTGACTAGAAACCTGCTTACAATAGCTTTAATCAAAACTTAATTACCACAATCTAATGAAAGAAAAGATTTTTTTTTTCAAAAAAAAAAAAAAATGAAATCAGTTAAATGCCAAACATAAATTTTCATTCACAAAATTTAGACAGTAGATTCTTTTCTTGATTCTGAAGGACTTTTGGTAGTGACTAGAATTTCTCCAGTTTCCACAAAGCCAGAACTAGTGTCACTTTCCTCAGTGGTCAAGTCATTAATATTAGTGAGAGTATTGTTGTCAACTTTGGTGTCTGTTAAGGTGGAACTGTCCAGCATGGAATCACTGGTCTGACTTGTTTGACTGGAGTCCATGGACTTGATGGAGTCCATTTTCTCATAGTCCCATATCAAACTTCCAGTCCCGGAGGTCACTTCCGAGGGGCAGTAAGATTCAGTGGAGTGAGACAGGTCCGATGTGTCCTCCTTCGCTTCCAGATTCGTGTCAATGTGTAGACTCTCACCTTCAAATTCCTCTAGATCCACCCCTCCATGTCCCTGATTGTCCGGAGACTGACCATTATTCAGTGACACAAGCTCAGTCTTTCCTTGACTGGAGCCTTTACTGCTTTGGTTGACCTCCCCTGTGACCACCTTAATGTCGTCAGGAGTCACTGGTGCAGGGAGGCCCTGGGGTGCCTCGAACACCTCGGCGTCGTTACAAGACTGGATGAGGCGAGCGGTGTTGTCTCTAGACTTGTCTGTAGGCACCTCCTCACATGAATGCACCATTCTATCACTTTCTGAGTGAGTATGTAGTCTTGTGGGTGAACAAGAGTCTGAGTAAGTCTTGACCCGATGTCTGGGACTTCCTGTTGGAGAAGTGTGGTCCTTCTCGTACAAGAAATTAGCTGATCGTCTCTTCATTTTCTTTTCAGCAGAGTTTTCTACAGAAGAAAGTGATCTTCTGTAAACCTGACTTGCTGGGGACTTGTCAACATCCCCAAAGGCTGGCGATCTGTTCTTTCGCCTCACTGCAGGAGAACTGTTTGCACTGTGAGAGGGGGACCCCCCAATTTTGGACAGATTCTCCAGGGACCCAGGGTCTGATAAATTCACCTTATAGATCAGCTCTTCGAAATCCATTGACAGTCGCTTATTGGCCTTTGACTCCTTGTCACATTTCCTCATCAGCAGTTGACATTTGTCATGAAGTTGCCTGAAAAAAATGCAGGAAGGCAAAAACTAGAGCATTCTGAAAGCAGGATATTATACCTGCCAATTAGAGCCAATGTCAATACACATTTGACACAGGATACATTAAACCATTGCTCAAATTTTTCAATTTTTACAAAATTTATACTTTTCTAGGATTGTAACAAAATAGTTGTTCTCAGCATTTAACACCACACACATGTATCGTACAATCAAATCATCTCGGTAAATCAAGATCAATCCAATGACCAAAAAGATATATTCCTTCTGAAGGAGAAAAAGTTTATGATCAGTTGACTCACTTTTCATGATCAGTCTTCATGCTTATTATTGCTTCTAAGTTTTCTATTTTCTGTTGCTGGGCAATTATCTTCTCCTTGGCATTCCGAAGTTCTTCTGCCTATCAAACAAACATGCATTTAAAAAATTTTGAGTAAAAATGACAAAATTGTGCAACATAAAAAAAAAATCAAAATTTTCACAAAAAACTAATCTTTTTATTCCAAAGGCCAAGAACTGGGAAAAAAAACAGAAATCTAAGCCAAGGTACATTTAACATAAATTAAACTCTATGGATTGTCAAATATCACTTGCTTATATTCTTATTTTGTTTTTGTCTGGTAACTTAGTATTTCACTATGGTACCATGTACTTTGTGATGACAAAAGGGGACTTTGTTTTTATGACCATGAAATCAGATATTTGTTATTTAAAATTTGTTCAATAAACCAATCAGATTATATTTCTAAGGAACAAACCTGTTTTTCCAGTTCGATATTCCTGTTCTTTAGTTTCTGTATCTCCTCGTTCCTGATTTCGATGACCAGTTTCAAACTTTCAATTTCTTGTGGCAAGTTTTTATAGGGAGATAATGCCATCTGTAAAATATAAAAATGTTTGATTTTTGACTAGGATTTCTTTTATATACTGTAAAAGCAGAAATATTCCTAGGGGATTAAATTTCATTTACATGTATTTTGTTATTAACAATTATCAATGAATTAAATCCCACACAAAATTTCTACATGACTTTTAATTGAGCAGAGTTACTTTAGAAACAAATTAACCATATTAAATGCCCATGAAACCATTTTTGTTGACAAACTGAAATTTCATTCCAACGAAATTTGTGCTTCTATAATATACTGTTTTAATATAATTAAGCTAGGTCACTTTTTTTTTTTCATTCTTCACAAACTATATGATTAATTGAATGTTTACCCTCTGATAAGAGAGGTAACTCTTACTATTATTCCAATGAAAAAAAATCAAATCAAAAAGTGATTCCTGACAAATGAATTTCTTTAGAATATGCTGAAATTGTTTACATTTCAATTATAGTTTAGATCTCTGCAGGAAACCTATTATCATCAATTATCAAAATTTTATGACTACAAGTGAAAAGAGGGAAGACAAACCTTATTGACTCCATAAAGAAGACTGATTATTATTTTTTATGTTCATTATCGGCTTTGACCTTGAACATTAAATACAAGTAGCGTTAAGTAAAATACCTGAACTTTGACATCTGAGTCTAAATACTAGTAGTGGTAAGTAAAATACCTGAACTTTGACATCTGAGTCTAAATACTAGTAGTGGTAAGTAAAATACCTGAACTTTGACATCTGAGTCTAAATACTAGTAGTGGTAAGTAAAATACCTGAACTTTGACATCTGAGTCCCGTAACAAGGCCTCCTCACTGGCTCGAGCGCGAGTTCTCAAATCATCACACTCACCGCGAAGGGTCTCCACTTTTTCCTGTTGGATAAATTAAACAATAACGCATGGTAGGTTTTATTGTTATTAAGCTGGGACAGAATTGTAAATAGAATTCTTCGAAATATTCATGCTAATTTCATATTGCATGGAATAATACATTACACACTCATAGCCTTTTAATTAACAAAACCATGGCTACAAGTATGTATTCATTCTTGGATTTCTCAAAAAACTTTTTTTAAAGTTTCCAACACATGTCAGAAGCTTGACTTATTTGACAAGCTGAATAGAACAATCCAAAAATTAAGGTATAGGCTTTTTCCGCAAAATTTATTTTTTTATTAGAATTTCATAAAAATTTATATTAACTTACAGAGAGTCCCATTTTAATGTTTTCAAATCTGTGTGTTATTTCTTCAAGTCTGTCTCTGTGTTGCTTGTGAAGTTCTGAAATTGAAACCAATATTCATAAATTTTAATTAAGTTAAAAATCTGCAACCTTCTAATGTTTTTACTAAGAATCTTTTTTTAAAGGGGGAGGGGGCTTAAAGGATGTAAAAAATGGTAAACATTAAATCATCCAGTTAATGTAATAAAGTGTCATTTCTATTCAACATTTAGTGAATGCATTCACATGCCTTTCTAATTTCACTGTTTGCTTCTAAAATGTCTTTTAAAAAATGTTGTGTTGAAATTACCAGTATTGTTTGGTAGTATTGTTTGGTCTTTAAGTATCATAAATTTATCATGCTGGTATATAAAGATATGGTGATCTTAATCATACAAAGACCAAACAATTAGCCCAGGTCACACATAGATACTATCTGACACAGCTAAATAGAAAGTTAATGACATGAATATAATGTAAATTCCTATATAAAAAGTCCCCTAAACAAATCAATAACTGGACTAACAAACTCATTTAGCGTCATGAAACTTTCAGGGTCCTTTCATAAGTTATTTTATGGGATAATCAATGCCTTTCACTGGGGGTAGAGAATTTACAAGTGAATGCGCATTGCTGATATTAAGTATAAGATATGCTCCATCAACTGAAGAGAGGTTCAAAGACCATTTCTAAACAGACACCATTAAATACTTATTAAATCTCTACATGTAGGTAATCAATTCAATTCACTCGGAAGAGCATTTACAAGTGAATGCACATTGGTGGTATTAAGTATGAGATAGGCTCTATCATTGGGAAAGGAATTCAGATACCTTTTCTAAACAGATGCTATTAAATACACATTAAAGTTTTAAATACAGGTATACATAGGTATACTTATATAACAAACACAATACATGAGAATATGTAGAACAATCAATTATAATCTTCTTTCTTCCATCCATTCCTAAATTATTTTATATTTGCATTATCATAGTTTTCTTATGTACTGATAATTAATTAATTATTACAAAGTTATATCAAGAATTTATGCAAAATGCTCACTGACTGTTCACTCTAGAGCAACCAAATCATACTGCTTGAAAAGAAGCTTATAATGCCCCAGGTATGCCAGTGGTGTAATGGACTGAATGGGGGGAGGGGTTGGGGTTGAAACCTCAAGTACTAGTATATCAATTAAGACAAGTTTTATATCCAAATATTCTAAATTACTAATTAAATCAAAACAAAACAAGCTTTCACTAAAAAAAAGAACATTAAAAAATTCAAACAAAAAACAAAATTGATCAACAAAAAAAAATCAAGACTAGAGGATTGAAAGATAAACCTTTTGTATTAAAACTGAATGTCCAATTTCAACTTACCTTTCATAGCACCTATTATAGTAGAAAAACGTTTTTTCTTTCCATTAACCGGCCCTTTATTTTCCAACATCACCAATGGTTCCTTATTTTCCATGTTTTATTTTCAAATTCTCAAAAAAGTAGGAAAGATTTTTTCCCAGTAAATATCAACTATTGAAAAGCCTTGACCAAACTATGACTGGGAAAATCCAATAGTATACAAAGTCTTCAGCAGTCATCAATAAACATATCTGAATGTCTATACAACCTGGGTGTCAATATATCGCCCAAACACTTCAAAACTTTAAAAACGTAATCCCGCTCTATGAAGAAGTCCTCCTGATCTGCTGACTTGGCAGAAGTATTCCTTAATGAAAATATCCCTTAATTGTTCATTATGTCTCAGGATTTACAATATCCTATTAACTCTTAGGGACTCTTAACAGTGATCCTTGAACGAGACTGTCCCACCAACCATCGGAATATATCTTTATTCCGGTGCTATTAAGCTGTAAAACCGAAGCAGCTCGAATTTCTACCCCAGTCTTGAGAAAATATTCACACCCGAAGAATTGTATCTTGTAATCAGTGTGTAGTCCTAAAAGGTAGATAAAGCCTTGTTAGGCCCTATGGTGTCTCCCAAGTCATCAATCTTTTACCACGACAATAATATAAGTGTTCACGGCTCCTTAAATCCCACACAGCGGGGCGGCTACTTTTTACCCTTGCCAAAATTCTTCCATAAAAATCTCATTGATTACCATTGAAAGGAAGAAATGTTCATGAATAGATTGATCAGTTTTAGATCACTTGTCTACATATTTACCAGATGATTTCAGGTAATCAATTCAAAAGTCCCTTGAATGGTTGCACGATTTGCTTAAGCCATAAAATGTTTGGCTGCATAGACGAGATTGCCTTTCAGACAAAATTTGATGAAATTCAAAACAACACCTACATTAAAACTAGAAACCTTTCCTCTACCCATTAAAATACGCATTATACAACAGCACATGCACTCAAATTTCTGAATTTTTTTTTTGTAAACCTGATTTTTCTTTTCTTTTGGGACTGCATTAAAATTTATTGAAGGCCATAAAAGAGACATTTAATAATTGTTTCCGATATACATATTCTTTAACTACCTTTGCAATTGAAAGTCTGGTGAAATGCAATACTGATTTTTTTTTATATGGCTAGAAATGAAATTGCCTGCCTTTAAGATTTTGGAATCTTGTAGAGTTGCCAAAACAATAAGTTGACTATCCTAACGGTTTAAGATAAGGTTATCTTTTGATTCAAAGACTTAAATGACAAATAGTTGTCCTTTTCACAGAACAGTTTATAAAGACTCCTGACATTTTGCGATATTTAACCTGTAACCAGGTACCTTTAGATATATGGGCAATAAATGCTTATCATCAGAAAAAGCTTCAAAGAGCAAAATCTGTAAGGCTATGGAAAGAACAAAGATATATTTTTTTATACAAATGGTATTTATCCAAAAATGCCAGATAAACTTCAATGATGCCAAATGGTCTTCATTCCAATACAAACAAATCATCAATTCCAATCACTTTCAGATTCCAAGAATATCATCAGAACACCCTTTTCCACATTTTCTCTGCATTTCACATTTCACCTGCCCTCTGGATACCCATCAACATCTGATAGTGTTAATATTCTTAGCTCCCTTCACCTGAGGTCTGCGGTGAATACATTAATATTGATTCCCTCTACCTGGTCTAATTACATGGTATTAATAAGATTTGTTGAGGAAATTAGTCACTCCAATACACAAAACTACAATTAAAACTCCTCACAAATTAGTCAAGCTTTTCTTGGAAAAATTTCCTGTGTATCTTGATTAGTATAGTAATGCACAACATAGCATTTCCATTTGTGTGATGCACATTTTCAGCTGCTGTGCAGTGTAAAACTTGACAAGAGAAAGAAAAGAACTTTTCATCCTAATCACAAAGCTAAACTGAAAATAGAATCCCTGCAATGCTGAGCAGACAAAATCCCTGACATGCCAATACATCTACAGCAACAGAATGTAGCCTGTTTGGGTTTCATTTACAACTTTTTTCATTTGTTCACCTGAGTTTAAGCATAACCTCATCAATTCTTGGAGCTAATAGGCCTGGGATCAATATATATTACTCTTGTTTAAAACTCCAACAAGGGAGACATTATGATCCCTTCTTTTCCCCAAACAAAACGATATGCTTAATTATTGATTGCAGTTCAATATGGACCAAGGGGGTTAGCCTGGGTGTAATGACTTCAGAACAAATAATCATTTAACAGACAATAGCACAAGAATGATGTACTTCCATATATTCAAACTAGGGATATTGACAGACTTCTCCTCAGAAATCAGGATATGTATTGCATAAAATATACTTCATACTTAAAACCCTTTTACATAGGACAAAATCAAAACATAAAGCCATCTCTTTAATCAAGATCACAACTTTGAAGTTTTGTGAAGAGCCCTGAATGAAATCAATTTTCGACATTCACAGTGTTAAATAACATAACATATAAATTCCTGTGTCAATATGACTATCTCCTTTAAGGACCCTGATAGTTTTCAAACACAAGAGAGCAAAACAAAACCCACCTCAAGGGGAACCAGATTACTACTTTGTTTAATCCCCTACCAGGAACTAGTCCAAGGTATACCTGTATAGGTATCTACTTCAGTTAATCCCTTTAAACAAATTATCAAATATTTTCAATAGAAAATTCTTATCAAATTTAGCTTTATAAACCTTATAATGAAATGGAAGTAATTTTTATCTAGTTTTGAAATAATTCTTGAAGTAATTAAATGGTAATTCTTTTCGTCATTAAATTTAATTAAAGATTAGTTAGTTTAATTCTTTGTGTCTTCCTTCCTGGACAATGATTTGCAATCAGTCACAACTTCATTTGTTCATATATTTAGTCCTGTGAATTCTAGATATTCCACTTAGCAATCTTAAGAAAAAAATTGCAGACTGGTCTCTAAAACAGACAAAAAAGCTCTAGCCTATCCTCTCCCCAACTACAAAAAGATTTATAGCTAAAAAAATAAAACTTCATGATGATGAACCCTTTAGAGATGGGTTTTTGCCAGTGTTATATTGCTTTTCCATGCCCTATTAAATTTTTACTCTACTCTAAGATTATACTTTTTACTAGTGTCTATATCCTTTTTTTTTTTTTTTTAAATATACAGGTACATAACAAGCTTTCACCAATGTGCAAGGAAAGGAAAATTTTGCTTTGCAATAAATGTAAGTTATCATTACCACTGTTAACAATCTATTTAAAAACTACAAGGAATGAGAATTACTTCACTTCAAATGATCATTATAAGTTTTTTCACTACAAAAGTGTTGTACTACATGAATTATTTCATCTACAACAAAAACATTTGGATTCTATTCTATGACAAATGCAGGAGAAGTAGCAATACAGAATGACTATTACTTGTCATTAAATAAATTACCTTCCATTTGTTCTTCATGTTTATTCCTGAGTGCTGCAATGTCATCTTCCTGAGCTTTTTTGAGCTTCTGAATTATCAATGAGTTGTCGGCTTTCATTTCAGTGATCTACAAAGAATTCAGTACATTTTACATGATTTTTCTTACATTAATTGAGACCAATATACTAAAAGACAAACTTTCCAGAGTTATGTCCCTTATCACACTTACTGTTTCATCATGAGTTGTTTTTATGTGATCTATTTCTTTACAATGGTATTCTTCAGCTGCAATATAAGAAAAAAAAGTTCTCTTTCAAATGACAAAATAAATTAGATAAAGCTATAAAAATCAAAACTGTGCTGCAAGGCTAAAGTGATCTATACATGTATTTCTGTAATATCTTGTTATTTGAAGAAATTGGAGAAGATATAAATGAACAATGTTCAATCTCAAATCTAGTAAAACAAACTGCATGAAACAGCAAATATATGGACCCTTCAAAACCCAAGTAGGTTCTGATACCTAGGAGGACTACCGAATAGTCTCCCCTGTTGACTGGTCACACTTTCTATAAGCCCTATGTATTGATCAGGAAGAAGTAATCCATAGTCAAGACCTAAGGTTGTTCCTAAGACCAAGGAGCTGGGGATTTATCCCATCTAAAATGACATATGTCCCCCCCCCCAACCCCCTAGTAGTAGAGGGGCCTTAATTCCCCATCTACTTCTTTAATCTACCCTGCTATTTCAATTCTTAGGAATAACCCTGAAAACCTTGATCATCTATGCACTCCTGTGATGCATTTTTTTTTTACTAATTCTAGAGTACTGGTAATAATTCCTTGTTATCACAATACAACGGGGTTTTTTTGGTCAGACTTTTTGAGTTATAAAGACAATTTTAAAATACAATTTTGCTTTAAAAAATTAATATACATTCCCTATAAATAGGTCAAAATAGGAATAGTGGTTTCATATAAACAGGTGAAATTTATCTACATTTTTACCAACTGCACAAAGCACATTTGTAACAAAAAAAAAAACCATAGCATTTGGTGAGTTGAGACACTAACAGATGACCAAAACACTCTTTCCTTTTTACAATTAATTCATCATTTTTCTTTATTTTTTCAACTTTTGTTTTGGGAAAAGAACCAGTGATTTTTTTTTTTTTTTTTTACATTTTGTTGATTCATAATATAATTTGTGTGTTATACCTAGCTGTCGGTAATTAGTCAAGTTTTCCTCATGTTTTTCTTTTTCCCAGGCTATCTGCTTCTCATGTTCCACTTTGAGGGCATTGATTTGGTCCAAATGGTCTTTATTCAGTTGCAATATGGATTCATCTAATTTACCCTTCTGTGCTTGAAGTTCCTCTGTGAAATCAAAGAACTTCTGTATATAATCTAATCAAATTAAGTAAACATCAGATGATAAATATCAGGTGCCCCTGGTGGGCCTTTATCTGAATCATAATTTGTTATATTTTGGTTCAGCTGAAAACAAGCAGCCAGCTTTAGTTATGATCAATTTACAAAACACAAGGGAATCAGATACTGTTAACAGTTTATGAGAAATAATATTTAAAATATTTTGGTTAGAATTTGCATTCTGCCTAATCTAATCACACAAGTAATTCATACTAGATGCATATATAATTCAGCTCTTATGATCAAATTGCTTATTCAAGCATTTTAATTTTATTACTAAGCAAAACATTAAAACATCTATGAAAACTTATTTGTCAAAGTTTTCAAACAGGACTCATGTGGGGTTATAGATTTTATATCTTACCAATTTGCTGCTTGGTTTCTTCAAGATGTGTCTGTAATGTTCTTACTTGGGAGGACAACTTTGGATTCGAAAAGGCATCCAACTGCAATGAATATAGTGAAATCCATCAAAGATTGTCAAAAATTTATAATTTTTCATTTTTTCAAAATCAGAATAGAGAAATAATATATTTAACAGTTTAGAATATACTATAATCAACCTTATTTTTTTTTTATTAATCACTGATTTTCTCAGATGATAAACCTGTTAAAATTACATGTCTATATATAACAGTATACATTTTGATTTTTGTTATGTACATACATAGCTTTGTTTAGTATTTATTTTTGATGATCCACTAACCAGATATAATGGACTGACCGTACCAAAAATTTGCATTTAACCATTGCAATTAAGCAGAACATCAAATCAACAACAGTAATCAATTTTGCAAAGTGCTCCATCAAGAAAACAAAATATAAATACATCTCATGACAGTCAAGTCTTGGTCTTGAATACCTACATCTTGAGAGAGATATTGCACCATCACTGTCATGGCATCAAAAGCCTGTAGATTGCTCTTCATCTGGAGCCTGGCATAGTTCAGTTCCTTGGTCCGACTCTCGCAGAGGGCCTCTAGACGTGTCACTTCCTGTTTGTTGTGGAGACTGATGGCATCTGATTGCTGATTGGCCGGTTTCTGGTTGTTCTTAGTCTTAGTCTTGTTTCTGTTTTGGTCTGGAAAGTAGAGGATACAGTATAGCAAATTGAGTCTGAAGAAAGCGCAAGTTTCAAATATATGTTTGATGGAGTTTGAAAATCAGATAAATCTGGAATTGTAAAAGAATTCAATTGTTTTAATTTTAAATCAATGTTATACTGAAGTTTAACTTTTCAAGACCATCAAATATCAAGTCAACAAACTAGCACATATCAGAATCTTAAGCAATCCAGGATGTTCCTTATAATACCTTTACTGAAGTAAACATGCATTTATCCACATATACTAGCTAGAGTGCAACAAGATGACTATTTCCGAGACACATATGTGGATTTTAGCATTGATTTAAAATACAATGAGGTTTTATGAATCACCATGGTTTAATGTAAACTTACCTGAAAATGAAAAGGTGTAAAATATGAAGAAAACCAAAGTTATCATCTCTCCACACGGCCTATATTAACCTACCCTACAGTCATGTAAAATCTGATATCGACATAAAAAACACCACAGATTTACATAAACTGTGCTCATAATCACAGTGCATAAATGCAAGAGAAAGTTACCATGCTGTTTAAGACATTTAAAATTTGGTGAACCAGAATCAATATTCTTGAGATTTCCAATTTAAAAGACATAGACCCACCTATTTCACAGATAAAACACCTCTTGAAAATTGACTGAATGTTTGCATTAAGACATTGCATGGACAGGTTTGATCTTGGAAATGGATCTTAATTTGCAAAAGTATACCAACAACAAGAAAATCTGAAGATAGCAAATTTAAAGTTTGCCTCCATGTACCCAGACTGTTTATGAAAGAATAATTTACTACCTTTTGACACCAATATGTAAATCATAAAGCCATAAAAATGTGATTTTATATTTTACTATTCAGTTACTGAATATGAAATTCTTTTTGCTACTAAGAGAATCTTTAATTTAAAAAAAATTGGAAAGATGCATATGGTTACCATATTGTTCAACTTCTATTATTCTTAAATCTTGAGTAAAGCATGCATGATTTAAAACTTCAGTGCTAGTCATGTTCAATTTTCTTCACAGTATAGCAGACTGGTTTTTAATTAAAAAACAACACTTAGAGCTGCACAAACTGCATGTTCCTACAATTATGCACCACAAGATTTCATCAAAGTTTTGCAGAAAGCTTGATTTAGGAATTTGTACAATTTTTTCCATTTCTTTTTTTTTAGTCTTAAATTAAATTTTAAAAAATCATTAAAACAATACACTGAACCTCCAAACTTCTGCTACATCATAAATTAAAGATTATTTTTGTAACAATTAGTTATTATAACTGCACTTTCAGACCAAGTTGAGACAACTGACATACATAAGCAATATTGGACAAACATGCTATTGGACAAAGGGTGAAAATGAGTTATCACATGTTAGATAGATCTTTGACAAAATGGAGGCAGAAATATCGAAATAGCCTCTAAATGCAAACCATGCTGGACAATGCACACCCAGTACGTATTAATTAGATATCTACAAGATTAATTATAAGTCTCTTCAGTGCTTACCTCCCCTTGAGAACAGCCTTTCAAAGCTAACCAGTAGGGACCTTGGTCTACTGGACCGAGAGCCTTTGTTCGACATTGCTGTCCAGTTCCTATGTATCACTGATAATCGAGCAAGAAAAATATTCTCCCTCTGGTCAATAATGAAGTGACTAATAAAACCACTGTCCTGTCCTAATCACGCATACAAAACACCAGCTCCTATTGATCCTATCATCAGTGTATTGATTCGGTGGGGGTTTGCCCCAATAAACATCTGTGACTTTGTGTCTCCCCTGATGCAATTATAATTTTGTTCCCAAAATTGATTAACGAGAGTCATATGATGACTGTCTCCTAGCTTGCGAACATCTAAGCACCAAATGACTGTATACATGTAAGAAATATAAATTTAAAAATTAAGACTTGGGCCCTAGGCATCTGTTTCCAGTCATCACTGTTACGACAAGTTAAAGGAGAGGGCGTTTCTCCTTCTAATCGCCCTGGGATATCAGAAAATGAAAATGCTATTGTATGTTTCTTTTTTCTGCAACTTTTTGTCTGCCACTAGTGGAGTCAAGGGGCAATAAATGCTAGCATTAAGCAGACTCTTCAGATAATGAGCAGACCTGCAGTAACTTTGAAAAGCTTTTAAATTGGCTCATTTTGACATCAATTTTCAATTGAGAAAACTATAAAAATTTCTTTGAAAAATTATCCTCAACTTACTACGAAACTTTCCGGGAAAAAAAATTGCAATAAATTTACAATTATCGTAACTTAAATCATTTGTAATCAAAACAACAGATAAAGAACAAGTACTTGCCACTCAGATTTCCAAATTGGAAATAAAATCCCCCAATATAAAACAAGTCCGAAAAAAATTCTCTTTTTTCAAAAAAGAGCGAACTTCTGAGAGAGGCAGAGGAACTGAGACTGCAGCATAACAAAGGAAAAGATGACCACCACTGCAGATGCTCTTTATAATTGCCGACTTCCTCACATTTTTCACAGCATCTCAAAAAAAAAATCTGCATGAGGTAAAATAACTTCAACATGTGGTGGAAAGATCTTCGTCATGCAAATTAAGTGGTAGAAATGGCCAGGAACAAAACCTCTTCGTGCATTCTTGTGCAGTCTTCAAAATCAAAACAAATGGTTATAAGGCCTTTCTGAAACTGTTTCTCAGAAGATCCTTTGTTTGAAGAAAGAGGAGTTGAGATGAACATGAAAAAATATCATTAAGAACACACGAAAAAGCCTTGGCTGTTTTCATTTGCAGTTTGAAGAAATGTCATTAAGAACACAAAAAAGGCTTGTTCTTTCCTCTCTCCACTTCAGAGATTAATAGATGTTTTGTTTCAAGAAGAACTGAGCATCCCAAAGAGAAATATTCCCTGCCAATTTGATTTACACATTCGATGTAATTTGAGGCAATGCTTTGATGAAAACATACCAGGTAACTAACTTCATGCAGATATATATATACAAGTGTGCAATACACTGCAATATTTCCCTATACAATATAGTCAATGTAACAACTTCAATGGGCAGGAAAAGGAAAAAGTGTGAATAATTCAGGAAATTTAAACATGACAAGGAACTGAGCATCTTTATTATAATGTGTTTTAAAAGGTCAAGCCCTGTATGAACTCATCACCATAACAGTTTCTGGCCATATGATCTTATCTATATAGCGGTAACAACCTCAACCCGTTACCTCATCAATGCTGCAAACATACCCGGGTATTGTGAAATACAAAATGAAAAAAATTAGTTGCTGATCAATTTTAAAGATCAAGTTAATAGTCATCAAAAGTGCATTTTGTCATAAATTGTGTTGCAAGTAAAAGTATTGCATTCAGAATTTCAGATTGGCATACAAGTTTATGGACTTTTGTCTTACACAGACAAACTATGGAATTATGAAATGACACTTCTCATTGAATGCATCCTGTAACAATTTACCCATCTGTGTAATCAAAATTTACCTTGCTTCAGACACATCCTTAGCATTGCTGCCAGCATCTTGGCCATGAATTATTTTTTACCTTTTCGGAAAAACCATGTGGTGCAAGAAATTAACCTTCGATATTACAGTCAAAAGTAATCCCAACAAAAAAGTTCAGGGTAATCTCAAAACTTAAGACTATTAATCTCTTAGTTAACATTTTCTAAACCTTACAAATCTTTGTGTATATGCTAAGTTCAGATTGGTTTAGGTTTTTTAAATAAACAATACTGATCGAAATGTCCCGAGTCACAATGTGAAAATTATTGAGAATAAGTAAGCAATTCAAAAGACACGTCTAAAATGTTGTTTGTTCTAAGGTAGTGAAGGGAATCTAGATAAAATCTTCCACTTAATAATAGCTTAATTATAATCTTTACTCCCTTACTGTAATATTTATTACATATATATAGAAATTGGGAGGGGGAGGGGGTGTTAAGGTGGATCCCAATTCCATACACAACATCCTCAAATGAATCAATAAATAGCTTGTGTCCTAAGGAAGTTTAATAACCTAAAGAGAATATCCGTTTTCCTCTGGTGATGTTTACTTTTAAAAGTGGGGAAAAATACAATAAACAGGATACATTAATGAATTTGTACTGAAGTGAAAACAGTAAGTTCTGGATATAATTTATAATGTTTACCTTTTGAAGGCCGACTTTGACTGACCCACACGACATAGAGGGTGAGTTCTGAAGACCAGTAACAGACCAGAATCACCACAAAATAGACACCACAGAACACCACCACATGATCTACCACAGGCCACGGCAGCCACTCGGGGTCCACTGCCAGCCACATAGGCCACAGGGAGGACCACCACATCTTGGACGCCACATAAAATCTTCCACGGTTACATCACACAAAAATGACAATATCTCCTTTTATAATAACCCTGAAGCAACACTGCAAGGGTGTTAAATTTCTCAATACTCGCAGATAATAACCCTTCAAGTTTGCTCAGGTGAAACTTTTGTCAATGCCTTGGTTCAAAATCCCATGTACCGAAAAAAAATGTCCTTCAAAAGATTACATTGTCAAAATATCTTGTTCGAGTTGAAAATTCTCATCAAAGGTGCCCTTAGCGAATGTGTGTTTTAAATCTTTGGATCGAAACCCATGTAGCACATGTTGAAATTGAGATTTTATTGACACAAGAATGTTCATTATTTGTGAAGATTTTAATGAGCATTTTCAAACAACCCTCTTCAGTGACTATTAGCTATATACTAGGGATCAGACCAATTCAGTCTTATCAGTAAATCATCTTCACTGACAGGTAATCTATTTCACTTATACTTTCAAACTCTACTACCAATACACTAAACTTTCGGTAAATGTTTCAATATGTAATCCAAGGTTCAATATTTAAATCTAACTAATCCAATTTTCTTTTCAGATGTATGCCTTATCTAATCCAATAGTCAATTGTTTTACATTTGAACTGGATCTTAAAGGGAATTTGGACCAGCTTTAATATCAATTTTATGTGACATACTTCCTTTTGAAATAAATAAGAAAATTAATTATAATTTATTACTTATCTATAACTTACTATAACTGAGCTACTGTGTAAAAGTGCATGTACTTCAATCTGACCATCAGTTTGTAATAGGTGGGTCACAGGTTCAAAGCTCACTTATTTAGGTTTTTGTACTTTTAGTATTATAAATCAATTTTTTACCAAATATTGTTAATTTTTTATTTTCAAAATTTTTTTTAAAGTATATTCATAGGAAGTTTTTCCCCCCATATCAATATCTTTCAGTGTCTAATTCCTCCCTATGTTCAAATTACTTCTACTTTGACTATATCGTAGATCCAGTACTACAATTTACATACTACAATTTACATAGGAACATTATTGGAAATGACTTGCATATCAGTTTGTTTGCTATTAGTGTCCAATTAATTAACATACCAGAGATTCCATGCAACTCGTATACAGGATAAACTGGTCATCTAAATCTTCATTAGCCCTTAAATACCAGTCATTTATTTACCATAGAAACATTTATTTACCATAGAAGCATCAATTTTCTGTGCCCCATCATTATCAAGGCATGAAATTGACAGTCAGAAAAATGTGAAGAAGCTCAAATCTTCCCCTCCAAACTTCTTGGTCAAAATTAATAACACATGTCTATAGTAAAAGGAATCAAGTGGCGAAGCAACAGCAGCATGTGTATGAAGATTTATATACAAAAACCATCACACTGTAAAAAGATCATCAAATTTTCAAGCAGTGCTGTGTTCTTTTTCTTGAGATGAAAACCAACCATGAACTTTCTACACAGACAAAAGATGTTTTTCTGTTTGTAATCAAATGAAAAGGATGCTCCCAAATTAACAGGGAGATTTTTTTCTATTTCTAGTATCAATTATAGGAAAAAACAAGATTTTTCCATTTTGTCTATAATTCTGAAACAAAAAATTGCCAGCTTCCAACATAAATGAGAAATCTTACAGCTGTTGCGGGAACCACTCAATGCCAAGATCAAAGTCAGTTTTTTAATACACCACAGTAAATAATTTCTCAAAATCTAATTTCAGTGAAATTTCCTCTTTCACTGCAGTTTTATCTTCAATTTCAATTAAATCAATTTTGACAAAAAAATCAAGCATCCTTATGCTTGTGTCAGCATTGATATAACCTTGAAATGTCAACTCGCCAATTTCATAAACTTACTTTGAAAGGATATAAATAATTTAATGTTTTAAAAGGTACCCAATTGTATTATATATCAAATTGTTTTATATCCCCCCCCCCATACACTTTTCCCCCGAAACTCATGCACAAGCACTACACACTTTTACCTTCTTGTAATGAGTTTGTAAACAATGGGATTCAACTGAATCAAGAATTAGACAAAAAGATTTGTTTCTGAAGAAAAACTGATCTTACAGTATATCCTGAGCTTTCTCACTGTACCATTACCGATACTTACTGTTTATTTTCTTTGTAGAGGGTGGAGATTTGGGCTTGTTATCTCCCTTTGATTTTTTGCTGTCTTTCTTGACTGTGTTTCTACTTTCTTGAGGTGAAGTGATTTTAGCCCTGTCACCAGTGAGATTAGTTTTTTTGAGAGGTCTGTTAGCAGGAGATGAGTCCAGGCTCCTAGAAACCTGTGTGGTTCTTCTGACAGAAGCTGTGAGGTGTTAATATGAAGATTAGGCATGCATTGAAATGCTAGTGAAGAGTGATTTCAGCTTATTACCAGACATGCATTTGAGATCCAGGCAGCTTATTTTATATTGTTAAACTTTCTCACTTTGCAATTATTGGGGGAAAATATCTTTTATTAATTTTTTTTCTCCTTTTTATTTTCTTTTTGAATTATGAAGATGTCTTTTATCTTCAAACATTGACAAAGTTTAACAATATTTGCAAATCATAATTGTTAGCTTGGTGTAAGTAAAAAATATAAGAAAATTATATGAATTGCATAAATCTCCCAAATGGTTTATTCAAAGCTTACAGACCAAAGACATAAGAAGAAAACATATAAGAATTCCCAAACCAATTAAAATGAAGCAATGAAAATTTAATTTTCTTGGGAAATGTTGATTTGAAAATGTTGTTTACATGCATGTTGTAGGGAACCTTCAACCAATGATTTTTTAGTGTTAAGTTTCTAACCTAAACCACTATAAAGTATTGGGAATAATATTAATTAACAAACTTACGACTCATGACAGGAACTAAGCCCTTTGCTGGGACAGACTTTCGTCTTGGTGCTGCTGCAATATCAGAAATTCTGGAATTCTTTGCATTTAAAGCCTTTACAGATCCCTGTGAGAAAGAAAATCCATAAATTATACCTAAAATTTGGGAAAGAAAAGTCCTAGTTTTATATAGAGTTCCTAGAATCTAAGAATTCTAGCAGTTGTTCTTTGACTAGAATGACAAAATCTACTGAAAGAGCATCTTTAAAAATTTGCAAAATCATTAAAAGCATATAATCAAAGACAAAATCTTTTATTTATTTTAAAGAACCTATTATAATTTCTCTGCTATAAGTCTGATCTGAATTAAGTGAAAATTATATACATACATCTGAAATGCTTTCAAGGAAGATAACTCTGTAGGTCTTAAAAAAAAAGAACTAATGCAGATAAATGACCCATTTTTGCTGTGTTCATACCTGAGAAGCTGTTGACATGGTGCTGGAGGTACTGGCCCGTCTCTCTCGTTCCTGGAGACTGGAGATTCTTCCAACAGTTTTATCTGTGGTGACAACGATTTAACAATGTCAATAACTATACCATCTGCACACTGATTGCAAATAAAATCAAATTATATATCAAATAAGCCAAAAATCAATACCTATTACCCAGATAAATTTGCTCCCCGCTGATCACTATAGTTTTCCTCGGGAGTAATGAAGTTCACATAAATTAATATTTTATGTTGAATATCAAATAGTGTCTCGCATCCCCTTTTTTTGATGGTATCAGCATAGATCCCTTTGATTAAGGCCGACAGAGATGTAACCCTTCTTACACCTTGGTTTTATAATATGTCTGGGAGGAGACAAGTTTACAGGAAAATGGGGACAATTTTACACATACACATTACTTAACATTAATTATCTTGATATACCCTGTTATTTCCGACCCATCACAAAGTGACTAAATGCGGACCAATGACATCTCATTACTAGGGGGTAATTTCACTTTATTGCTCTGTTTTAACAAGGTTTTCCCTTTAAGGGTAGGTAATCTTAGCTTTTAATGACCAGGGAGGATTTCAGCTAAGCAAGCTGACATGTTTTACGCCTATAGACTTTTATTGATTCTCTTGCACTAAAGCTACGAAATTTCTGTGTGCTGCTTGAAAAAACAACTTTTGCAAAATGTTTTGTTGCAAATTATTGACTATTGATCTACAGATAAAACTGGAGCATGACTAAATTATTGATGAAATTCTGTAAAATAATTCTATTTTTAAAAGTTAGGTTGAAATGTTTTTTTGTTTTTGTATATATGTAATTATACTTTTTCCGTCAAATCATAATTCCAAAGACTCAAAATTTCAGTTTTATCTGCAGGCAGAAAATTATTTGCAGAATTTTTGGTTTGCCAAGATTTTTCTTAACTGCCCCATAAGTATGCAGAGACAATTTTCCAAGGTAAAAAATGAAATTGTACATAAAGGGTCAATTACCATATGAAAAGAGCATGTCTACAGTATATTGGTACGATTCATATAAATGATTCTTTTCATTCAAAATAAGTTTTCCATACACATTGCCAAGATAAAACACTTACTGCTGGGTTTCTGTACAGTTTTGGGAGTACTAGGAACACTAGACTCCCCTCCCCCTTCCACTCCGGCCAGATCCGATTGGCTGCTCCGGACAGAGCTGATAGCTGATCCTAGTACACTGCTGCTGGCAGAGTCATTCAGATCCAGTTTGGGGGCCTTGGAGCTCCCATTGGAAGCCACAGAGGACAGTCTTCTTATGACCTCCCCACTCACACCACCACCCCTGGGGGAATCCTTCCTACCCCCTGCTGGAGATGACTCCCTTCTTATCAGGGCAACAGGGGCCCCCAGGTTCAGCTTGCTTTTCACTTTGCTAAAATCTGGGGTGGGCACAGTGGGCAGTTTTTTCTTGGGCTTTTCTTTTGGTGCTGTCGTTTCTTTCTTGGGAGGTGGTGGAGGTGTACTCAGGTAAGACTCCAGCTTACTTTTCACTTCACTCTTAGGTTTGGCCACATTTTTATCTGCTTCAATCTGTGACATAATACTGTCCCATTTACTTTTTGGAGGTGTCCTTTTAATAATCTTAGGTGGCTCCTTTTCCACTTTCTCCTTTTTCTTCCTCTCTTCATTGCCCTCCTCCTTCCCACCTTTTGTCTTTGAATCATTTAACCTGGCTGCCTTTCCTTTTGGTCCCATGTTACGCTTATTTTTTGCAGCCTCTGTATTCTCATCCTTAGGTTTGACTGGAACTGGTGCCTTGATGTAGTCTGCTATCCGTGACCCCACCTTAATGTTAGGTTTCTTATGCTCCACTTTCTCCGCTTCCCTCTTCTTCTTCCTCCTCTGAGGTTTCGCCTCCTCGATGGTGACGCTGCCCTCGTCTGCACTCTCCTCCTCGGAGACCTCCTTGACAGTGACCTCATTTTCCTCATCTGGCTCCTCCCTCTTCTCCTCACTGTCCTCAGCCTCTTTCTCCTCCGAGGAGCTCTCCCTGACGATGTCCATGGTCACGTTTAGCTTGTCCAGCTGCTGGTCAGCCTCTATCCTCTCATCCTCAATAACTGTGTCCGACACTGTCTGCTGAACATCAGCCTATATAACAAAACAGCAGCAACAACCTGTTTATCATCAGTTCTATTTATCATGTCATGTTGTACAAAGAGATAACAACAACAAGTCAGCAGTTTCCATTTATCTCAGGTAACACAATTATGTTGTTATTTTTACTTTTTATTTTTGGAAGACTTTTCCTAGGATGCAAATAACTTTTTCTGCTTTTTCAAATTTTTTGGATAATTATTTCCAGAATATCTTATTACAGTGTACTGCCCTATAAAAATTCAACTCCAAAAAAAGAGAAAAACAAATTTTCATTGTGTAAAAACAAAGCTAATGGGAAGATTTCACACCCCAGATCATGAATTGAAAAATACCTACCCCTATTACTAGAGGCTGTGTTTCTTTATCCTCGCTACTCAGGGGTAAAATATCATCAGCGGAGATTCCTTTAACGTCTGTCAGCAGGCTTGACATGTTTTCACTACAAAACAAGATAAACTGTGTATACAGTCCACTCCAACCCAGCAGGACTTATCTATTGGAGGTCTGCTACCAGAAAAGGAAAATAATCCTCCAGCACCTTTTTTTTTCCTTATTATGAGTTCAAATCGTCCCAAACATATATATACCATTAATTTTATTTACATGGTATATGAAAAATTAAGCAATAGGATTGAATTTTATGTAAGAAATCATTCTATGGCCTAGTTTCATCCTGTGAGTTTTAAGATATATGTCATACATCGTCAAAACAAAATTATGTACTATCATCAATATTCATTTCAAGGACAATTTCACCTCTTCAAGGATGAAATGCACAAATGGAGAGGACTATCTACTAAGTTTTTGGAACTTGTGTCCAATCCCTTTGACTTATTGTCAATAAAATATGTTCAAAAACAAAATGCACAAATTATATAAATGAAGCATTTTACAAAATGAAATGGGCCTCAAAAACTTCAATAACAAAGATTCTAAAGAAAGGTTTTATTCTTAACAGTTTGTTGTCACCCTAATCTTATAAAATTTTGAAACATAGTTTTTCTTAGTAGCTATAGCTTTTTACCCAAAGGAAACCTTTTAATACAATGTAAACATGAGCCTTTTAAAATTTGTATTCAGCTGTGATCCTTGCCTATATCCTTACATTTCAATTAATTCATAAAATATCCAATGTTTTGTATTTTGCTTTAACTAATTTAAATGTCAAGTTTTAGCGCTTAGGTGTCAAGCTCTCTCAGTGTAACATCACAATCAATATCTCATTAATAATTCCACATGTTGTTGCTGGTAATCCCTCCTTTTAAATACATCAAGAAATATAAGATCTACAGGAGACCTACTGCAATGCAAATTTTAAAATACATCCTTACAAATTTTCAGCACATTATGAAGACATCAGCTGTCACTTGGTTGAACTGAAGAAAGACAGTGAACATTACGAGATATATTCACATGTACAGGGCTGTGGATTGGACCCAGGGGACAGGGATTCCCCACCCACCTTTAATGAAAGCTCCCTACCACTATTCTGGCATTGCCCCCTAAACCCCAACTAGGGAACCAAGAACCCCTTCTACATTAAAATTGCTCCTATTTCAATTTTTTTTTTTTTACAACCATGCATTTGTACTATTCCTTCATATCATTTATTTTACAAATATGTAATCCTTTCAAACCTATGACTACTTCATTAATTTGTAGAATCAAAAACTTACAATTCTGAATCTTCTTTCCCCAGGTCATTGTTGTCCGCTAAAACGGTTCCTCCATCACTACAAATATCTGAATCACTCTCCTCCAAGACCTGCCCTGCCCCTCTCAAAACAGCTGAAAATTACAAGGCAAAGAGACTCCTTATTATAACATGTATAAATTGACAGGAATAAAAATTCCCTTCACACAATAATGGATTATTGAACGAAATCCAGAGCACTGTGTTGCCACTATGGCACCATAACAGCCTCAGCTGAGCGCTGTCTTATGGAATAATGTCATGAATATTTCACAAGACAACCACTCTATGTTGATATGAATCCAAAAAAGCTACTTGTAGCATTCATCCTGAGTAATCAACAAGTATGATATCTTCTGTATACAAAATGTGAGTTCCATCTTAATGCCTGGACTCATTTTGTTTGTCATAGAAGCAGCAACAGGGTAGTATCTACATGCATCACAATATATATATACTCCCATCCAATTATTGGCACATGCACTCATCTACATGTAGTGAGGTATTATCATATTTCATAGGGTGAACTTTGGTTTTCTATTTATATCTAACACAGGTATATAATTTTCCTACTTCAGAAAAAAAAAAAATTCCTTAACATTAACAATTTAATTTAATTACAGATTATAATTAAAAAAAACAATTTAATTTACAGAAATATACATGTAAAACTTACTCAATTTTATTAGTTTGTCAGAGAAATAAACAAAATGTCCCTTACCTGTCTGGAAATTCTTGAAGGACTGTGCATAAGCAGCATCCAGATCAGTCAGTTCCACTCCAGCCATGGAGTCGGATGACTGTGCCATTTTCTCGGCCCAGTCCAGGGGGGAATTAATGGTCAGGGTCCCTCGCTCTGAGTCCGTGTCCGGCACATAGCCTGCAAAAATAGGTCACCCTTAACAGTCCGATTGAGCCATCAAAGTCAATTAGAGAAGAAGGCATAAGTAATAATAATAAATGTCCATTGTGTGCCTGACTTGTCCAACAATGACCTTGATTAGAAGGTAAACATGGACTGTGGATAAATATTGTCCCAAGAAATGTACTTCAGGTCATAATTAACCAATCCTATTCTCGAGAGCTTATGGATATATCCTAGTTTTACTTATATATACATGTACTTACTTCCAATACACAGATTTCTTTATTAGCCTTAATCCTTAGAAGTCAATGTTAAAAATCTTGTGCGATTACTGGTGTGAATAGAGCAGTAAGTAAATGCTTTAATCAGACTGTTGGTCATTCCCGATTCCTTCCTAATTTGTTGTTATCAGCCCCTGATAACCAGTGACTCCTTGTCCCTTCTACCTGGCTATGTTCCGACCACAAAATTTGTTTTTGAATGTACAATTAAAAAATTTTGAAAAGAATTTTAATCCTTCCCTATTTAATCAATAAACTTCACCCTAATTTTTCAATAATAAAATTTTACCTTCCTAAAGTCTAAAGCCCTTAAACAACCAAGTGCAAGGAATTTTTCTCAACGTGTTAAGCCAACTTAGAGAGCGGACTTTTAGTTAAATGTTTACTTTAATGGCAACTGCTCTTGAAATCCCTTGCATAAATGAATTATCAGTTTTTTCACCTGAAGAGAAATAATTTCCATAATGCAATATCACCTGTCAAATTTCACAGTCCATGTTCAAACACCTTCGCGACTTACCTCCCAATTGGTAAGAAATTCGATTTGGTGTCAGCGAGTGTGCCACTTCTGACAACTACTGTTTTCGATAAATTTGCGGCTTTGGATCAGTACGTTCATTACAGGCTCCCCATTATTTTGTCAAAGGTGAAATTTAAAGCCACTTATTGTCCATTCACCGAACTTAAAAAGTTAAATATCACCCCTTTAAAACCTTTTAACTAATTAAAAACTTTTTACCTGTTAATTTGTTTCAGAATGTCATCTCAAATGGAAAAAAATTCAAGTAGTTTTAATTTCTTAAGTATTTTTAATTTTAAAGTCATTTGAAATTTTAAAGTGAAAATGTATCCTATTTACTCTCACTAATATTGAGCTATTAACAAGGTTTTAAAAAGGTGAAATGGCCTTAAAAAGCAAATATTGATAAATACAAGATCTTGCCCAAGTCAAAAGTAAATATACCTGGGTACACACTTAAAAAGATTGTCTATAAAAAGTTTTTCAACCTGACTAATCTATCTTGCATTTAAACAAATTTACTAAATATAGTAAGATACACATTTCAGCTATAACTGGTATTTCAGCATCAAAATTTTTACATATTGTAATGATAATTAAATCAGATATTTCATTTATAGTTTAATCTATGAAAAAAAAAAATTCATGAATTATATTTGCAAATTTTTTTCCAATAGTTATCTAAACACATGTAAAAGAACCTTGAACCCATTCCAAATACCCTCAAGGTCACAATCTGAAACAATTAAATTAATACATTTTCTCTATGTATTATTATTGCAAAAACACTTGCAGCCTCAAGTACCGGCCACCTTGCTTGCATTGTATCAATACATTCCTAATGCTAGGATATGCACATCTTTAAGTGCTTCATCCCCATCTTAATAATGCCAGGTGTGAAGAAGCAGATGTTAAAATAAAGCATATCTATCAAACTTTGGGGTAAAGACAGAAAACATCTATTTTCTTCTGAGGAAAATTGGTTCAGACATAAAAAAAAAAATCATAAAGATGATCAAGAAAGTATTTTGAATAGTGTCTTATTGGTATGGTGCTTAATTTCAGTTTTTTTAATGACTAAAACTTATTTTAGTCTAAAACATATAGTTTAAAAAAAAATCCTCATTATCTTTAGTTGTATAAGTACCGGTATTCAGGCCAAAAAAAATAATAGTCTTGTTTCCTGCTACCAGCCTAAAAAAAATAGGGTAGGTAGCTTTTTTTATTTTATTTTTTTCACCTTTTTTGGATATGCTGAATACATTATCAAATTAAACATATCACAAGTCACTCAATATAATATTTTACAATTAAATTTCATATCTTGATGCACAACAACTCAACTGGTATTTTATAATATATAGTACACATTTTTTTAGTTTTTTCAGAATTTTTTTTTTTTTAATTATGGAACATGAAGGTATTTGTCAAGTAGATAATCAAACAATCATTCCTTTAAAAACTCAGCGAAGGACCATATGTGTTACAGAAACCATGAACTTTGTTAGATTACACTGTATTAGATTTCTGGCAGGTTAATTTTAAAATGAAATCTAAAACAAAAAAAAAAACAAAAAAAACAAACAAACAAAGGATATTTATCAAATTTTAATTTAAGGAAATATTTTAGTGAACAGGAACTAAAGAACAAATGTGAAAAATTTCTTTTTTAAAAAGTAAAATAGTATTTTGTTTACATTAAACAATATAGGACTATTGAAACAGAATGGGAATTAATTCTTTTAATAAAGTCCATGCAATGGGTATTTTACTGATATTAGTCCCACCTTTCATTTAATATATGTATGTATTTATTTCTTATTTTAACTGTTGGTAATTATCCAGAAGTTAGACATGTATTTATGGTGATAATTACTGTAAATTATTTTTCCTTAAATAGCTAAAACTATTTAATCATGGCGGTAAAAGTATCTACAAGTCTTAAACACAATTTTTATGCTCTTTGAAAAAGCTTTATCCTTGAGGTACAAGTATTCATGCAACTTGCCAAAATCATCATCACTCAATGTACTGATCAATGCACATAAACCTCTCTTCATGAGCAAAATTTTATATCAACCACCAAACTAATTAATGGTAAAACTCAGTTATAGTGAAGATGCTTATAATGAATTCATATTAAAAGAGAAATGTATTTTATCTCTCTCTGATTTTTAAAACATTGAAATAAACTTGATAAAGTACATGTATAACAAAGCAAAATTGTGTTTTACTGTTATCTTTAAAAATGCTCTCTCCAAACGTCTAATCATCCATTTGTCTTACCTGTATCAGCACTGATGGAAGACACAAGAGACAATGGCCGTTCTTTTTTCAGATGTCCAGCAATCAGGTCTGCCTGTAGTTGGATTTCTTCCTTCTCCTCCATCAGTTTGTACAGGTTTTGTTTCTCATCCGTCATCGACTGCCTCATCTCACAAGAGTCCGCCATCCTTCCCTGTTCCAGGGTCATTATGTCACCCTGCTCAGAGATTCCAGAATCCACCATGGGCAGCTTAGGTTTGGGGGCACTAACGGTGGACTGAGAAACCCCACTGTCTGAGGTAATTCCTAGATTGCTGATTTTTTCGGTCAGACTGTCTACCCGTTGGTTGATCTCTTTCTGGGCCGCAGCCCTCAGCTGATCTTGGTCTTGTGTCTGGTTTGTTTGTTTGTTTTCGGAACTGTCCTCAGAACTAGCAGACGGTTCCTCCCCATCGGAAGCCTCTGATCTCCAGTCAAGTGTATCCGCTCCCAGCATTTCCACCGGCCTTCCTTCCTCGGCCACCTCATATGTCGCATTCAAATCGAAGTTAAGCGGAATGTCAAAATTTACATCCTCCTCTCCAAGCACATTCTTGTCCTTGGAATGACTTTCTTTTGCCTGAGCACTGAAACTTAAAACACTGGATTTGATTCTACCACCTGATACATTTGGAGTTGAAGTTATAGCATTTTCAGCCTCAAAAGTTTCCCCGAGCGATGCAACACGGTCTTGTCTTCTGGACAAAATTGAAACCTTTGACAACTTCTCCAAATCGGTGAGATTTAACAGCGATTTTTTCTCACTATTGGACACATTTTCCATTTCTCCCTGCAACAAATCAGAATCAAGCTGAGAATCATGAACGTCCAACACACCTAGACTAGAATTATGACTGATATCAAAAGTGGCATCTGCAGAGGATGAAGGTTGGAGGCCATCAAAAACCTTCTGGGGATTCTGGATAGAGCTAGTGGGTTGAGGGGGTGAACCACCACCTTCCATGTCAAAGGTCAGGTTTAGGAAATGGCGATGGTCAGATGACAAGCATTCTTGAACCTCCCCACTGATAGAATCTTCCCCACTACTTTGGGTAGTCATATGAGTGTCTTTGGACACAGGGATTTGAATTTCCCCTATATTGTATGTCTTGTTCAAATTACCACTGACAAATGTATTGTTTCCAATGTTCTCTTTGGTTTCAATGGTAAACTGTTTGTTGTCTGACATAGTGCTATTTTTTTCTGGGACAGAGGTAGCAGGTGGTTGTGGAAGTTTGGAAGGAGCAGGTAATTTACTGGGTTTGGAAAAAGCTGCAAACCCTGGTTCAGCAGAAGCTTGAGTCAAGGTGTATGTAGATGATAGTTTATTTTCATGGGGAATGCAATTGTTCGAGTTTTTATTTTCATTTAAAGCATCTGCACTTAAAGAATCTGTATAAATAGAACTTTGCTTTGAATCTTTTGAAGTCAAATTACACACCTGTTCATTATAAAGTTCTGGTAAATGCTTGGAGCTGGCCGCTCTAATTTTTGGGTCGATTTTAGGTAAACTCCTTTTTCCTGGAATCACTACAGGTTCCTGAGCAGCAGATGTGCCCAAAAAGTCTACTTCATCGAAATCTTCATTCTGCTCATCAATTTTCGATGGCACAGCAATTTTTTCTTTGGGGTCTTTTCTGACAAAAACTTGTGGTTGAGGTAGCAGACGTCGCTGTGGTCTGGTAATTACTGTTTTCTGTTCGGGTATATCCTCGGGAGGAACTTCGGTTTCTTCCTCTATGATGTCCCCCTGCAGGTCATGGGGTACAAGTTCTATTTTTGACACTTTGTCAACAGGTGCGAATATACCATGTCCGAGTCGACACGTAAAATACCTCACTCCTTCCACCTCACCATCGTGTTTCCCTTCCTTTTCGTACAACTCAATGCCACACCACAGTCCAGCGGCAATGTGCGTTTTTCCGAAATATCGCAGTTCACCAAGTTTGATTCCCCCAATACAGACTTTGTCTCCGACTTGAAGGTGAGGTTTGGTTTTTTCCTGTGTCGAAAATGCCTTACTTTGGTCTGGGCCCACTTCTGGGGCTGATGTGAAAGATTTTGGAGTTGGAAGGAAGGAGCGTCTTTTTTCTTTATTCCTTCCTTCCGGAACAGGAAGCTTTCTCTCAAAATTAGCCTGTAAAGATACATCAAATTCAGTAAAATTCAAAATCATTTAAACTTGGATAATTCATTTATCAAAATTTCAGGATACATTTTACCGATTGATTCATTTCCGGTAAAAGAGAATTTGAAACAAGAATTGATTTTTTTTTCTTCAAATGGGAGTGCTCTTTAGAGGAAACTGTATACAATTAACCACAACAAATAAACTGGATTTTATTGCACCATGAAGACAATCAATTCCAATAGCTCTCTCAGAGAGACATTATGTTGTGTAAAGAATCAATACTATGAGATCACTTTGAACCAACTACAACCCAGATGTATTAGCATTGTAATGTGCATATTTAATCCTAAAACACCTAAAACTTCCAAGTATATGGGCAGAACATAAGGCCATAATCTTGCCATATAGATAAAATTCATATAATTCTTAACATTATCTAAATGAAATTTCTATCTTCATTATCTTGACTTGATTATAAAATAATACATTGTACCATCTAACATTCCACCATGCCATTCAGTACTCTTTGTAAACTGTTAATTATCTGCATGTTTTTGTCAATATTAACTCTTTGAAAGTAAATCAATGTAACATTTACATCTTTCAGATGATGGGGGTATATTAAACATACATACAGTGTATAATTAAATATACATCTGAATGACCGGTAGATATATATATATTGATACTGTAACACATTTCATGGTCATATTAGTGTATTAATAAAAGAGTAACAGCTGCTAAGTGGGTAAGAGCTATATTGATGTATTGCCCTCTGCATATAATATACTTTGGCTTCATTTGTACATGTCCCAAGACATTAATCTAAGTACTGAGCGATAACAGTTTCTTTTATATCCATAATTTATAATTCACAAAATACATCTGCAGAGAAGTGAAATCAGAAAAAAAAATTTCCCTACAAAACACTTGAATTTTAATGATTCTATCACCCAATCAACCTTCTTGGAATGGGCATCAATAATCATATGAAAATTGACAACAAATATGAGGTTGAGGATTTGTTGTACTCTGGGTTGATTGAAAAATCTCCTTTCACTCTGATGACATGTTATTTGAGCCCTACATAATCAATCAAATGTAATTCTCCAATCTCTGATGTTTACACTGGCTATTCATTATCCTTGTAATGATCAGTCACTATTTGAAATATTATATATCCACCTACTTGATAAATGGCATTTTTTACTTCAAGACTTACAAAAAATGAACGAAAGCAAAATGACAATGTTCCCTGGTCAATTTAGTGGATTACTCTTGAAATTAAAAGATAGGCAGGTAAACCAACATAACATCCTTTTCCCTTTCTCTTGCCTAATTTAACAAATCTTGAAATTCTAGAGACTTAAATAATGTCCATAGATAAAATATGTGCACTTGGTCACAATTTTTCAAAACCCCTGATATGAAATTATGAGCAGTTTTTGATTTTCTAAATGTGATATTTGATATGCATGGTATATATAAGAAGACACATTTTGTTAAGAAGTTTTCGCCCACAAACATCTAAGAATCTGATGCTATGCAGCACTGTGTTATCAAATTAGAAATGTATGTATAGCCTAAGGGAACAGCCCATCTCCAATGCAACATCTACATTGATTTTAGTAAAACAAATGTAGCAGGCCAAAAAACATGGTGCATACGTAACGTTTCTCAGAAGTGGATCCAAAAATTTATTCATTTACTCTGCAGAAAAAAAAACTTCATACTTGATTATGCCTTACAGTCATTAAAGAGGTTATAAAGTTTCATATCGAAGTCCAATAATGATAGACAATTGTCTGTTTTAGATAGTGTCAAGTATTTGCTTACTGCTTGAGATCAAAACCTATAATACCTGCTAAATAAACAGATTGGAAGGGAAAAATACCTTGAATGGATATTTACATTGACACACCTAGCAAAATCAGCTGTTTTGTGTCGGTGGACAGGATACGACTTCCATTACATGAAGAATATACCTTGTTAAAACTCAACTTTAATTTGACCTCAACTAACAGTACAACATGGGCATACCTGTCTGTCAGACAAGGATGACATTTAATTAATTACTCGCTCTTTAAATTTACATCAAGATGTCTTGGCATATTCCTTCACGGAACACATTTTTTACATAAATTATGAAATATTTTTATAATCATTGACATCTGGTAGTAAAGGAATGTGCCTTCACATCAGCAATCTTAAGGTTTCCTAAAATTGGAAACTTCTGAATTTTAATTAATCAAAAATTGATGAAAAGAAACTTACCATATTGAACATTAACAATTGCTTTTTTCACATTTGTTTAACTATATCCCATGAGCACAGTCAGAAAAGTGAATTATTGATCTATCGAACGTTCCACCTTATTTTCCTTCATCATTGAACGCATCCACATAAAATCTTATACAAACAGTAAACAACTTTCCATAAAACCCACTGAAGAATTCCAAATCCCCATTGAAGAAAAAATCCTGCATCTCATAAACACATCATTATACATAACAATTATCCAACAATGATCGGGAGAAAAATAAGGCCTCTCCACAAAATAGATCCACTGTATTCTGAGGTTGTCCCCAATTTTAAGCCGTTTTTTCTACCTTGCTTGATGAGATAACAAAGTATTATTCAGATACAAAGCCAAAATCCATGTTATAAGAGATTGCACCACGAAATCAACACGTATCTCTCTCCTATGGATGCACATGACGAAATGGCTATAGACCCCACAGTCTTGTAACGATGGCGCATAATGGTATTGATTTCTTGACAAATGATCAATATTACGAATAAGAAAAAAATCGTAAGGGCTGCTCAGAGGGAATACACTAATTGTCTCCCACATCCAAAGCTTTATTCCACAGACTTAGTGACCAATGTAAATATTCGGAAGGCAATTAGTGTTTGCTCAAATCTCTCAAGTTTTGGGACTACTACACATCATTGTTTTTCTTTGGTCATAACGGTAGAACATTTGAAATTTGATCGATGTTAACAATACAAATCTTTCTCGGGACAGCGAATCAGTAGATCGTTTTAAAACATTTAATTATTTTTTTGATCAGAAACACACAAGGTGTCTTTCAAATTAAATTTAGTTCCTGCAGTTTATGTTTTTCTTTCCGATAATATCTTGATCTCTGATCCCATTGTATTGAATTAAAAAAGCACATTACCAACTAAATTAAATAAATTTTCAACAATGTAAAATATTTACAACAAGGTGTGATAAGATCTCTTGAACTCCAATACACATGCATTTAATGTGACAGAAATTGGTTCTGATACGATCTTCTTGACTCCACTACATATAACAATAAATGGAAACATCATAATTTTACTCAGGTAATACCGGTATAATATAGTCTCTGATCAATATTCTAGTGTTCCAAATCAGTACAAGTTCAACATTTACTATTATTGTTCAATATCTAATTTGATCTTCAGCAATCTTGTCAATCATACAGGTATCATTTATTTATTTGTTATGGGCAGATATTTCCAAGTGAGTGGGCTTGGTATGCACATAAGGGCATATTCATCGTGTTCACCATTGGTTCATTAGGTGGATCAGAAAACCTTGGTGTTATTTTAGTAACACTTAATACACAATTGGAAAGGCTCGAACTTATATGAAAGATTTGGCCAATTTTTCCTCGTTTTCTGAATAAGTAAAATAGCCAAAAAAAAATTTTATGGTCTAATTCAAGTCTAGATTTTATAAAGTGAGACCATGTAGCCTACAAAAACAATTTATCCAGCATACAACAATATTGGGGGATATTAGTCCAATTTTTAAATCGTACAGGTATAGATCTACTAGACCCCAAATTTTAGTTTCATTATGATCATTGATAGATAAAACTTCCATGTGAAAACTAGCTTTCAAAGGCTAAATAACAAGTATATAGACTCAATATTAAAGCTTTAGTTAAGGAATCTTCACTAGTAGTGAAACAACTTGAAAGAATACTTGAATCAAACATTATACATTTTACACAGTATTGAGTGTGTATATTCACTAAAATCCATCTTGTCAACTCCATTTGTTCCAAAAATAAACATTCCTATTTATGGTTGCATTTGTTAACCAGGTTAATTATTTTTACATATTCTCTACATATAGTAGTAGAATACATTTTTTTAAAATTAATTAAAGAGAGGATATAGCCCAAAAATTAATTGAAAAATGATTTCACTGTAAATCACTAAATTTTTGTGATACCTTATTTTCGCAAGATAGTCATCGACTCTTGATAAGCGCGAGACATTTTCATGAATTGTGGTTATTCCTCTATATAATCTTAAGGAATACTATTATACACAAGAATTAAATTTTCGCGAGCACACTGTCTTGCAAAATTGCACTAAAATAAAGTCCTAGCAAATAAGAAGTTATTTACAATACATGGAAGCTAATATTTTGAATAAAATTTAATTATGAATTTTAAAAAGAAGCTCAAAATTTGAACTTAAAACATACCTGCAAAGTGACAGATTAATTACACAAATAATATGTTTTTCCACACACTTAAAACATATCTGTCATTGTTATACTTGTCCACAGTAGGTGTTCTGTTGTTTGCAGTGAGGTGGGAGATGACTTATTTCAAATTAACACCAGTGAAAACCCAGTAACTTGTGTCTGAATGTCGTGTCAGCCCCTGGCAGAGAAAGGCTATAAAACCCATTAAACATGTAGACCAGGACACAAGAGGGTTTCAGTCCTCACAAACAGTAGCAGGCTAGGTCAGTGATGGAGAGAGACACGGAGAGAAAGCTAGCTGGGATAATTTATACAAACACAGAAAGGAACAACATACCTCACTTAATTCACCTGTCTTCACACTAGGCCAGGTGACAGGTAGACTGGCCTAAAATATATATATAAACTGCATGCCAAACGTCAATTATCTAGGTGGTATAAATAGTCCACAAAATATTAGTATGCACACTTTCAGGAGTATGATTTGGTTCCCAAAGGCTAAAGTTATCTCCCTTGATCACAATGGTCACAAATATACTAAAATCTTAGAGCTCTGAAAAACTTGAGCATTTCATTTTGGTTCTCTTGTATCTTCTGAATTCTGATATTAAACATATTACAAGAACCTTATGTAAGAACATTTATGAAAGCACTGTTGTGCATGCATATGCCTTATCTCCCCTGCATGTCATGATTTAATATGACAGTGGTTGCTGGAATAGTATGGAAACAACAGATGAATGAATAGATAAAATTCCACAAAAATGCTAATCTTCCTCATAAAAAAAAGCCGGAAACTTATTTTCACATAAAATTACCTATTTTTTTCTGAAAATTTGAGAAATAATAATTATTATACATTTATTATAAATGTAAAGCACCTTACCATCAGTTTTACATCATAATGGATTTTCACTTAGTTTGCATTAAATACCAGCACAGCACAGCATCCTATTAGTTAAATGCTTCCACAGTACATACTACATTGTATATCTCTCATTCCTCATTAACTTTGTTTACCTGCAAGCGCATTTTCGCTCCCTTTCTTTTTTACCATTGCATCAAGACATTATACAGGAAAACTTGGCAAAAGTTCATACGAAGGAAAGCAAATAAGAACTTTCATTTATTTATCTGGCTTTGATCGTCCCATTTTAGAAAATGCACTGGAGTTAAATTTTTAATCAGTTCAAAACCCTACTTGTTGCATTGTGTGTGTGGTCAATTTTTTTTGTTCTATTAAGACTTGGCATAGTTCCTTCACCATTATTCTAAATTAACCTGGAATGCTACATACTGTAGGGAGCAAGGAACTATCTTACTGTTAATTTAATTAACTTTTTTTTTAATTTGAATGCAGAAATTTGTACTACTCTGCAATCTGCATAGATTATCATAGACATCTGTCCTTTCATTCACAAGTTTAACTTGAACATTTTCTTAGGGTCTGCTAAATAATTATCATAAAATGGTGGTGGATGGAGACAGATTTATGTAAAAATGACTTTTTTTCTATTTTGAGAAGTCATAAATTAGTGGTTATGATAGGGATTCACTCACACACCCCCCCCCCCCCCCCCTTCCCTAAAAAAAGAGAGAGGGCAGAAAAAAAAAACTAATGTATGCTGATTTTACCAAAATGTTACAGATATTCTGTTATCTGTCAGTATCATTTCATGAAAAAAAGAAAACCAACTAGAATACTAGAGGTACTGTGAGCAATGAGCTCACTAAATGATACCCCCTGCCTTCCATATGAATAAAATGGCAGTGTCCATGTTTTGCTCTGGAAAATCCAAAATATATGTCAGATCAAAAAGTAAAATAGGAGGTGCACAATGGCAATATGTAATAAAGATTCTGTGAAAGTTTCATCAAATTTCATTCAGTGGTATGAGAGGAGTTGCAGATAAGAGATGGGTACCCCAAAGCGTAACAGACAGACGGACGGAAGGATGTACAGACGGATGGAATTAACGACTACTATATACCCTCCCGCTTTTCAAGCGGGGAGTATAACTAGAATGGCACAGAGTTCTCTGTCACAATATGATTGTGCATGCTAGAGTAACCTTTCTTTAAATTCACTTGTGACTAATAAAACAAACTTGTATATTAACATATTTTACCTGATCCACTTGCAAATCTAAGTAAACTTAAAAATTTTGAAAACTATAATTTTGAGTGTTTTTACCAACATCTAGCTATTTGGAGGACTGCATGTAAAAAAAAAGCTACACCAATTTTAAAGCTTTGATTTGAAAAATAAACTTGAATGGAGATAACTGACTTGACTGTTTATAACAGGGGATGACAAATCTCATTGCCCGACGCCCGGGGCTAGTGAATTTTAGGGGTGGGCAAGTGAAATTTTATCAACTACTTGCCCGTGGGCAAGTGACTTATCAAAAATAGAATTTATTTGTAGGCCATAAATTTAAAGCTGGGCATAGGGGCTTGTATGATTTACTCAGCATTTGTCTTCCTCTTTTTTTTGAAAAAATATCTATAAATACAGAATTAGTTTATGGTAGGGCAAGCAAATATTCAGGTAGGGCAAGTCAATTTTGACCATGTACTTGCCCTTGGACAAGTGCCTTAAAAATCTATTTGTCAGCCCCTGTTATATATATATGTAATATACATTCAAAGAATTGTATCCATGAATGGATCCTAACGAAATGTTTGTGCTCTAAAACAAATTTCATTTTGATTTTTGGTAGAGTAATTAAGACCTAGACAAAATTAAAAAGTTATAAAACATGAAAGAAGTGTATTGCACTGCAGTGCTTGAGTGGTATTGATTCATATATAGATTTCACATTATAATCTGCAAAAATTGTCCACGACTTGTGCATTTTGTGCCTAACAACATTAAAATGTTGACAGATGGCAAATATCAATGTGTACTTTCAAAATTTAAACTTCAATCAATTCCATGCCTTTATTCCTGTAAATTCTTTGTAATTTAGGGATTATGCATACAATCATATATTTTCAGATTTTTATGTAACACTTAATAGATTCTTACCTGTATCCAGGTAATGAACTAGTTGCTTTTGTCTTGAAAGTGTATACCATGTAGATACCTTGGCATTATTTGCAAAGAAAATATTTGGACCAAGCATTTTAAAACTGGATGTCAAATCAAATTAATTGATTTTGCATCAAAGCCTTTTAAGAGACCTATATTCATGATACAAGTTTCAGAGTTAATTTGACAAA